CCCGGACAACACCAATAAATGACAACAAACACACCCCTCCGCCGCCCGCCCACTAGCAACATCCGCCCGTCCTTAACATCCCATCAGCATCCCATCCTCCTCCAGGAGTGGGACGAGAGTCTGGGGTGGCTCATGGACTAGCCCGAAACGGAAGAGTGATTTTAACGTGACTCCTGCGGCAAGAGGACGAGCACCACACACAGGAGGGTGTCCGTGGCCTGCCCTCTCGATTCTCCTGAGTGCTATTTTATGCTGAAGTGTGCCAGACGCACTGAACCAGTTCCCCGGTAGCTGGTGACTGGTGACTGGTGTCTGTTGGCTGCTGCCTGCTGCCTGCTGCCTGCTGCATGGTGGCTAGTGTCCCTGCCCAAGGATGCGACCACGACGGCGCCACCATGGAGTTTCGATGGGATTTCCGAAGAGGGGAGCGGAAGAATGTGCTGTGCAACCGGTTGAGTCCATTAATCATTTTCTAATTTGTGGAATGCAGAGTGCGGGCGGACGGACGAGCACACTTGGGGGAATAAACACAAACATCCCCCTTCTGGGGGCAGGACACCGAAAATGAAATTTTCACATCTGTAATTTGTTAAGTGCGTTTGTTATTCCACCGAATTATTTCACTTTTATGGGTTAAGTGCTTTTTGAGTTACGAGTAGACCGATGTCGGGCAATCCTGGCCCTGTTTGTCTTCGTTTTCTGCTTTCTGTTCCTGTTCCTGTCTCTGTTTTGTGTGCCAGGACCTTGGGGTTATGCCGTGGCATGTTGTCCTGTGCCGATTCCGATTCCGTCTCCCGGCTCCCCAGGCGATTGACATTAATTAGTTGTCTGGGAATTTGCCTCCCCAGTTGGTATTGGGAAGAGGCATTCGATAATGCTATTATGGGAGAAGTTCCAGGAAGATCGGAAGGAAGTGGGGAATGGAACTTGACGCATGGAATCTTTTTGGGTAAGGCTTAGTTAATATACCACCTACTACTAAATAAAGATATACTTTCCCACTCGGATAATTGGCATTTCTCTTCAAAGGGACGATAGGCTTAAGATATAGGTTCCAGTTGCGCTTTCAAAGAAATATTCTGTGGGATCCTTTCTACATATACATATTTGTGAGATTTACTTGATTAGTTTTTATGTCTAAGAATTTCTTTCGGCAAAGGCAGAATCTTAAATTGAACTGAGCATCATGGCATCATAAGGAAAGGAATACAGCTCAATATGAGGATCATTCCCTATAATCCTGGAATCCTGTAATTGTTTTCTCCTACAAGCAGTGACATTTTCTGCGGATTTATTTGGAAGTACATCAGCAACATAATCATCGCCCACTACAACCAAATGGATATGGAGATGGAGATGTCATCATCGATCACAACATCTCTCTGAGATGTCTGGAGGGCCCAATGAGGCCTGAGGATGGAAATCAGACAACTGTAAACTAATGACATTTGCCGAATCCATTCATTCACCCTGCCCCAGCCCCTGCCCCTGGCCCTGGCCCTGGCCCTGGCCCTGGCCCTGCTGATGCTCCTGCTGTATGCTGAATGCTGGATGCTACTGCTGTGGTCTCAATGCGTATCCACTTACAAATGAGAGGATGGGGTGGATGTCCTGGCACTGCCACCACCAGGAACCAGAAACCGAGCACAACGAGGGTTGTTCGAGTCATTTGTTTGTTTTCGAGTGCGCTGCCTGTCCAAATATGCGGCAGCTTGTAACAATTACCAAATGACACCCTCGACAATCGGAAATGGCCATTGTAACCGGCCAAGGACACTGGGACACAGGACACTCGGCACGGACCAGTGACAACAAATGCGCAAAATACGCAATAAGAATGGATGGAATGGGATGGGATGGGATGGTATATGGATGGCATGAAGGGAATGAATCCACTTGTCGCAAAATCAATGGCAATATTTTCACCATTAGTTGTTTGTCCTTGTCCTGATGAAGTAATCAAGCGGGAATCAACTTAAAACTCAGTTTGAGGGTAAAATTTATGGGCTGGAAGTTGAAGTGCTTTACCCCCGTGGCCGGGACAGGGCTGTCATGGCTGGTGGGGATTACAATGGGGTTGAATGTTGTCTTAACAAATAGGTTCATTCTGAGAGTTGGTATTAAGAGCGCTAGAAACCTGTTCTATCCTAGAAAGTCCTTGTTACCTACTAGATCCTGTCTATTCTTTCAATTAAAGATGATCTAACCCCATCCATGGCATAGCTTTGAACGATCTTGAATGAATAGTTTGAATGGAATATCTAATGAGTTTCAACCAACTATTGGAAATCTCTTCCAACTATGTATACATATATCATATCTGCTGAAGATCTATTACAACCAATGAAATGTTTCAAAGATCTCCTTCACGCACATCTACTATATACCCCCCTGCCATGCAGCTGCTTGGAAAAAGCTTTCGAGCGGAAGATGACCCGCTCAAAAAAAAAAAGAAAAACATTATGAAAAACCGACAACATCTGCCGATGTTTCTTCTTCTGGTGTGGAGCTTCTTCTGTGTTGGGGAGCAGAGGCAGCAACAGCAGTCAATATGATTTGTGATTTACAACAGGTTTCAATTAACCAAAAGCATCCCCCCCTAGAGCCCCACTACTATACTATACGTCATAGAATTTTGCATGTTTTTGGGGCCACAAATATAGAGAGGGAAGGGGCGCCACTGGAGTGGCGTGAAGTGGCGGGAGGAGACAACGGTGGCAGCTGAGAAGCGTTGACAGGGACATAAATAAACGGCGGTTAAGTATCGTGTAATGCTAGACGAATAGTTTCTGGGTGTGGTGTGTGTTGTCGCGGCAACTGTAAGTGGAGATGCGATGCTCCCCGGGGTAAACAGCCGCTGTTGAAGACGATGTTGCAGTTGCAACTAATTGAGAACAAGGCGGCAACGGGCAGCGCAGGCGGCATAAATTAGACGCAACTTCCACTCTAAGTGGATTCGTCGGGGGGCGGAGGCGTCGCGTCAGAAGCAGGCCATCTGATGGATTGTCAAGGCAGAGACTGGCGACATCTTTCAATTAAAAATGCATCTCTTCGTGCCCCACACCGCACGCCCACCCACCCACAATCGCTCATCTCAATCCATCCATTCCAACTCTCTCTGGCTCTGATCTGTAATCTTTGGGCTCATTAAATTCAAATGGAATTTGTATCGAAGGCAGAACTTAATCCGCTCGTAAACATCTCCACTCCCCACCTTTCGGCGTCGGCGCCCCCACACACCCCATGAGCCCCACACCCGGTCAGGCTGCTGCCGTTGCACGGCTCCAGTCATAAATCAGTTCTAGCTAACCCAAGGATTTGCCAGGCTCAACTCAACTCAACTCAACTCAACTCGACGCCGAGCCGAGCGAGATGGCAAGCGAATAAAGACAGCAAATGCATATATAGAGCTCTTAAGACTATGGAGTACCCGCTACGATTAGGATATGGAAACTCTACCACAGATACGATCTGCTACAACCATCTTTTTCTTCTCTGGCTGTAAAAATGCATGAACTACAACTGGGAAAGAGGAGAGAAGACAGAGACAGATGTCCAGACACACCCCAAAAAGTAGGTTCCTTCCTCTGACAGTTACTCAACTCCCAACAAGTGCAACGTATCCATGAACCCTTCCGGAGTACAGGGTATACAAAAATGGACCAATTCGAATGGGAAGCGTGTGTCGCCTTCGGTTCGCAAAGGCCTCGTAACGAATGCAGGCTTGTGGCTGGGGCTGGGGCTGGGCAGCGGCAGCGGCAGCGGCAGCGGCAGAAATCTAATTTCAAGCACCAGAGAGCAGCGAGAACCAGAAGCAGAAGCTGCCGCTGGAGCAGGAGCAGGAGGACCAGGAGCAGTCCTCGAGCTCGTGGTGAACTTCTGTGCGCCTTTTCCACTTGGCTAGCTTAACGATTCGAACTGCTGTCAGGGTTTTTTGCACGGCCCCCCACCATACACCCACTTTGTTGTCTATTTGATGTCTTAATGCGAACCACCCCCAGTACCATCCAGCACCATCCAGCACCACCCAGCACCCGCCGCATCAGTAGCACCAGTAGGTGGGGAAGAAGGGACGTATTATCCCAACCCACCCCCCTGCAGGTTGCCTCTGCCCGTACAATTTTAATCAAATGGATTTTCTTTCTATCTAATTTTCTGCCTGTACGGTACGGAAATAGACAGTCCCTCCCCCTCCCCCGCCGCTGCCATAGTCCCACTCTACCCACTTAAGAGCTGACAACAGGAGCAACAATTTATTACGTGTACCCATCTCTTCTATCCCGGGTATTAGCTGGCCTACGGGCAGCCATTATTCATGATTCTACGGATCGGAGTTCATGCAGTGGCAAAAAAAAAATTGATCTTCAAACAAGAGAGATATACATATGTACATATGTATGTGTATATGCTTATATATAAATATATGCCCTGTCCATCATTTATCGGAGATACAACAGATCTTCGGTGGTTTTTGGTCTGGCATTATGCTTGATTCAAAGTACATTGTATATACAAATCTGAGGCAATTTTCCCGTTTTTGGTTAGACTGTAACTTACAAAATTGTTGGACATCCAGCAAAAGGATTTTCCCAGGGTTCTTTTGGACTTTAGATTCTAGATATTAGTATTATACGTAATTTAAAAGGGTTTACTTCCATAGCACATTTTTTTTTCGATTATTTAAATATTTAAATGGGGTTTGTCTCACGACACAACAGTTTTATGGAGCAGCCAATACATTTACCATGCAACCGGTTGTGGGCCCCGGTAAGTGCTCGTATTGGTGAGAACAGTTTAATGGAGCAGCCAATACATTCACCATACAACCGGGTGCGGCCCCGGGTAAGTGTTCGAATTGGTGAGAACAGTTTGCTAAATACAGCCAATACATCCACCATTCAAAAAGTTGCGACCCGGCTAAGTGTTCGCATTGGTGAGAACAGTTTTCTGAAGACAGCTGACTAAAATATTTAAAAAAATATTTAATGATTTTGGTTTAATTTATAACATCGAAATTCAATAAATAAGTTTATAATATAAAATTTATGTAAACACAGTACATAATTGTGGAATTGAGAATAGTGGGTTGGGAGTTTAGGGAATAGGGGAGTGTGTTGCCCAAATAAGTGGAATCAGTCTTTAGCATCTAGAATACTCTTGCCTTGCCTAAACGGTGGGCGCGGGTGTGTTGGGTGAATGTGTTTGGGGTGTGGGATGGGATTTCGTATGCATAGCATACAAAAATGCCGATATATAAGGGCGAATTTCATAGACTAATTTACAAATTGTGCTATCGGGTTCTAAAACTGAAACTAATACATAATAAACTTAACTGAAAAGCTGATTAATGGACCTAAACATTGGTCCTAGAAGCGCAGGCCGTAGCGTCCCGGTCGCTTGGGCGCCACCTCGGTTTCACGCTGCTGCTGGCGCTTGCGTGTTGTGTATCCAGCACTGGAACTGGCGGGCATTTCTCCTGTGCCATCTCTAGCAGGCGGCGGCGGGATTCGTGGCACTTGGTCCTGGGACTCGCACTGGGACTGCGAGCTGGAGGGAGAGGGCTCCACCGGAACGGGCTCGACTGAATCCTCCAATGGGTTTTGCTCCGGCTCCTCGCTCTCAGCCCTAGCGAAGAGAGTACGCCGCACACTGCGCAGATGGCTAAGCGGATGGCTGCTGGCTGGTTCTTCGGCCTCGTCATCTGTCAGGGGATTGCTTGAGATGGCAACAGATCCGCGTTGGCGTTGTCGTGGAAATGTGCGGTAGTCCTCGTAAATGGCCAGGCAGACTTCAATGTCGCGCAGGCTAATGCTGGCCGTCGCAGTTTGACGATATCCCAGCGTCAACAGGACGTGCTGCGTGTCGTACAGCTGAATGCCGCCGTCATTTCTGTTCCCCTCGACGTCCTCCATCACACCCCTGGCCTCGACGTACTGCAGCATATCCATGGCGGGTCTGATGGCCGGACGTGGTGGTGTAGCGAGATGGGGGGAACTGCGTGACAGCGCCTCCTCCTCCCCTTCCGAATCGCCCACCGCAATGCGCCGTCCCTCCGAAATGGCGCGTTCTCGTTCCTTCTGCTCGTGCATCCGGCGGCGCACTCGCTCGAAAGTTGGACCAAACCACTCCTTAATGAATACCTCCTTCGATGGAGTGCAGGGGCGGGCGTCTTCAAAGCCAATGTGCTTGAAGCGGTTAAATATCTGGGTGCGGATGAAGCCCGTCACAGCCACGACGCCCCTAATTTGGCGCCCGAAAAGGCTGAGCATGCAGTCATCGGCTAGATCTGCACGCACAAGCCCAGTGTCCACGCCCACGATGAAGTTCTGCACAATCTCGCTTGCTGATGGCTGAACTAGAGTCGCGGAAAATTTGATTATTGGATAGAGTCAGCCTTAGTCAGAATGGTCAGAATGCCTTACCCGCTGTCTGGTTGCTGCCGTTTGGGTCCATTCTGCCGTTGTACGAATTCGTAAAAAAAAAACAGATTTATACCAGGCTTCTCAAAATATATATAAGAAACTAAACTATATTTATATTATCCATTTAATAGAAAAATGTCAAATTGAAAACAAAGCCAGCTTGGCAGTGTGACCGAGGACTTATCGATAAAATATACCGTCCGACCCTCAGAAATATAACGAAACATACTGTCTCAATTAAAAAATATATCGTAAATATACTGACGAATTCAAGTTCTATTTTACATATTCCTCGTTTTTGATCTTCCGTGGAATATTACTAGCTAGATAGAACTTTCAACCATGCCCACATAAATGTATCCGATTAATAAATCAATTTTCTACTTAACAGGCTCATTTTAACCACTTGCTTTTATGGCATATTGTGTCAAAAGAGGTTTTGCCGAAAATGATCAAACAAAAAAAAAACGAAAGAGCATAGTCGTTCCTATTGTTTAATATTAATATTCCGTTGAATACTATTAGCTAGATAAATCCTTTTGCCATTCCCACATAATTTGATCCGCTTAGTCTCCTATTTGTATACTTGCTTTTATTGGATTTCTGTAAGCCTTTGAAAATGTAATTAATAGATTGACGAAATTGAAAAAATATACCATTATGTACCATTATAATTTTTACCTCTAAAACTACCGAAAACTATTAAAAATACCGTAAAAGGTCACCCTGCAGCATGGTTTTATCTGGAACCGATATGCCGACACACATTTTGTAGGGATGATAATAAATATATCGATACATCGATCTATAAATAAGTGCAGCCATTGCTAAAATAAACTTGCAACCTAAATCATACAATTTTATTTTATTCAATAAGAAAATCAGAAATCAGCTCTTAGAAATCCTGCAAAAATATTACTGCTTCACTTCCCGAGCAAGCAGTCGCAATCCTCTCAGATTATACCATCGATCCGACCACCTACATATGTTATCGATAGTACTATTATCGCTTGCCCACCACTGCTGCCATTTTAGCTTATTTTGAGCTAGATTTGGCTTATTCTAAAATCAGCTTAGCTAATTTTGGCTTCAAACAATTTTTGTTTTTGGATTGTATTGTAATATTTGTTAATTTTTATCGAGAAATCGGACAAAAATCATATTTGTTGTTCGTATTTTGGTATCATCCAATTTTGTGTATAAATGTCCATTTACATTCATAAAAATGTTTATCTAAATAAACAAAATTTCCACAATTTCTGGTTAAATTTCGATGAGTTTAGGGAGTGGCTACGCCACTGACCACACAAAATCGTACTGCTGCTTTTGTAAGGCAGCAATTGGGGCCAAGTTGTGCGAAGTAAGCCAACATGCTGTCGCTAAAAAACATATTGCGTCCAGTTCAAGCATAATATGGATAATGGATAATATCTTGTCATTACTTTAATTAATAATTTAAAAAAAAATATATCAATAGAATTCAATTATCCATTATATTAGCTTATTCTAGCTTATTTTTTTCTTCAATCTAGCTTATAGTGACTCTCAAAATCTGACAACACTGTTTCCCACCTTTTAGCATCAGCTGCAGCACTCCCGGGTATTAAAAATTTTAGCAAAATGTTCAAAAAGTATGTATAAAATCTGAAGATTGGTGACACAGTTGAGCTGGCACTAATTCAAATGAATATCTAGATTCGAGGAGAAGGACAGTATCTCGTCCATACAACAGCTTAAATCGTCCGTACAGAAAGGCATACGTGCCAAGCTGCTGGAAGCCTATCCCAAGTTAGAGACACACATTGATCTGATATTGCCCAAGAAGGACTCGTATCGCATTGCCAAATGGTAAGTTGAGAGTGCCGTGCCTGCCCTGTTTTGTAGAGGGAGTATAAAATGTATTCTATCCTACGGCTTGCCTCCCGACAGCCATGACCACATCGAGCTTCTGTTAAACGGCGCCGGCGAGCAAGTATTTTTCCGGCACCGAGATGGCCCATGGATGCCGACGCTGCGCCTTCTCCACAAGTTTCCCTACTTTGTGACCATGGAGCAGGTGGACAAGGGTGCCATTCGTTTTGTTTTGAGTGGCGCGAATGTCATGTGCCCTGGCCTGACGTCGCCGGGCGCCTGCATGACGCCGGCTGAGAAGAACACGGTGGTGGCCATCATGGCCGAGGGCAAAGAGCACGCGCTGGCCATCGGTCTGCTCACGCTATCCACAGAAGAAATGTAAGTGGGAAGTGGTTCACGGCTGATCTAGACTTAAAAAACGCTTTCCCTTCTCCGATCTATTCCCGCAGTTTGGCCAAGAATAAAGGCATCGGTATTGAGACGTACCATTTTCTCAACGACGGCCTTTGGAAGTCGAAACCAGTAAAGTAAGGAGTAAATCGGGACCCGGACCCCTGCACACGCACACACGCCATGTGCTCGTCGCTTTTAGTCTGAGAGCAAAGAATGGTTTTTTTTATATGCAACTAAATCCTGATCATACACTTTTTTTTGTCTTAATTTTAACTGTCAGTCAAACTATTTAAGCCGATGCGAAATATAATTAATGGCATTTAAAATAGTTTGTCCTTAGATCAGTGGAAGGTCAAAGCAAGAACCACCTAGTGGAAAATGGTACAGAACACATAGAATTATAGACTCTCTAGAAGCCCGTAGATGGAATAGAGTTTGCTGTGGACCTTTTTCCAGAGACTGGACAGACCTTCCTGGAACTTTGTTTTTCGGATCGTCTAGTTTTCATAGAATCAAACATAGACGGAGATGCCTCTATTATTCATATGTGATTGAGCAATCGTCATACATAACATCGGAAAGCAAATACGGAAATAAAAAATTTTCGACTATGAAGTACGCCCTTACCCACTTGCCCATCAAGGGACAGCCGCCAATGAGCGAAGAGGAGCTTCGCAACGTACGCCGTTTGGCTGTGCAGAAGCGACGCAAGTTTCTGCGGAATCTAGAGTTCGACAAGAATCGCAACATCAATGATGTGGGTCTGGACCGAGACGATTTAAGCATGAAGTCGTGGGCCGAGACATCGGTTGACATCAAAATCGGTTGAGACAAGTTTTTTATTGTTTATTCTTTTGTAACACCCTGATTAATATCATAAAATATCTATCTATCTAATATATCTATCTATAAAATACCAAGATGGTTTTTTTATCAATCGATTAAATTCTTTTGTTAAAAGATCGAAAAAAGTCGATTTAACACAACAGATTCCTAGCATGGTATATCCCTGGCCCAGTTATCGATAGCAATGCTGAAACAGCTGTTGGCCGCCGGTCATGCGCATCGCCAAGAACTAACGGTTATAGCTGTTAGCTATGCTCTGCTCTGTTTTGTTCCTGCGTAATGGACCGCTTTTTGTTGCCAGCCCAGAACAACATTTGTGGTGTCACACGGCAACTGCAGTAGCTTGAGGCACCACACAAAAACACGAATCGAGGAGAAAGCGGATCCATCCATCCGCTCGGCTCTCACATCAAACCACAAGTGGCAGGCAGCAAGTGAAAAGTTGTTCAATACCACCTTCCGCTATCGAGGAAGTTTTATTTCAATATGGTAAATGGCTCAAGACTCTAAAAAACATTCAATAAACCATATAAAAATACATATTATGTTAAAAGTCTGTGTCTGGGTCTGTGGCATATGGAATGTACGAGACGACTTTTCTCAGCAGCATTGAAAAATCACCGTTGCAGCTAGTGCAGTGCGTGTGTAATTGTGTATGTGTGGGTGTACGAAAAGTTTTCAAGGAAAACGGATACACACTGTTTGAACTTTTTGAAGGTGCACCCGAGATGCAATGCAGTGCAAACTTTTGCGAACAGTGGGAGGACATGTTGAGTCACGTACACAGATACGGTTACAGATACAGATACACAGATATACCGAGCGTACTTTCAAGGGGGCACATATGGCGGCATCTAACATAAACAATATCCAATCCCCTCTTGGTTATTTTATTGATTTTACTCCAATTTTGACAGGCGACAACAACAGCAACAGCAGCAGCAGCAGAAACAGCAACAGCCACATCGGCAATAATGGAGTTGTTATTGATGGCGTGCAAGGAGGCATTCGCCAACTAAGGCTCCCTCCCTTCCACCCCCTCAAAAGGCAGCCCCAAGCAGGAGCAGCAACAACAGCAGCAGCAAGGCCTACAATACCATACCCCATAACGGGACACGACACTCCGTGAGCAACAGTAACAGAACGCAAGCAGCAGCTAGGTGGTGTGAGAGCGAGAGTGCGGGACGGAGGGCGGAGGACGGAGAGGTGGCCGTAGCCCTACTCTCCCAGTGCAATATGGAGGACCTTTTTCTGCTAATTATCAAGGAGTCGACGGGCACGAAGCATAACGCGTTGCGACAAACGGCACAAATTGCTTACGGTATGTGTTTTTATGCATGTATATGTGTGTGTGTGTGTGCGTGTATTCCTAGCACTGAGAGAGACAAAAGAGAGGGAGAGAACAAAAATGATTAAGAGCGAGCTAGCGATATTGAAAACATGCGAAGACGCAATTTCCTTTCGTTCATCATGCCTTTCCGCCTTTCTTTCCTTTTGTCGCTTGTTGTTGCCATTTGCCAATGTTCACCGTTACTATTTCCACTTCCTTTATGACTTCTTGGAGGGTTGTTGCTGTGGGTGGAGCATATTCGTTTTAGTATCGTTTTGATCTGCGGCTCTATGAAGGATTGTAACATAGTTGGGAAGCCATGCTAAAACCTTTTTGTCCGACCCATTGCCCTGATAACTCGCAACTTCCTGATGGTTCAGATAACTCTAACATATATTTACATAGCTACATACTCAGGTAGCTATACATATATCACTAAACATATGCATTGCCATATGTACATTTAAACTGCAAAAAAACAAAAAAAATATATTTACGTTAGAAATTTGAGTAATATCTGACTACTACATCATAGATCCTCTGCCATCAACACATTCCATTTGAAGTTGTATTACCCAGCCATCTTTTATGAAATATCCGATCATATTCGGGCTTTTTTTTAGTCCTAATAGGTTCTTTGGTCAGAAGAAAATGAAAAATCGAATGTGTGTCGAAACACACAAAATTCCGTTCCTTCCGGCCCTCACAAACGACGAAATTCTGTGGCATACAAAATTTTGAAGATACGAGAAAACCAAAAACGAATCGTAGAGAAGAACCATATCTAGCATACTCTTCATCGTGCAGTGTGCGCCCTCTGGCGGAGAGGGGGCATACTGACTGAGTATCTCGTATAAATGTACCTGTTCCCGCTCGTTTGCTCTAATTTTGGCATTTATCAGCAGTAGATAATAATAACGAGGGGGAACGTTGTGAGTTGCCGCAACTCTACATTTATACCCGATACTTAGTCAGTATGACTCTCCTCTGGCAGACGCCGCTTATATTAAACGACGAGTGCGTGCGAGAGAGGCAGAAAATCAGTCTGAGCGTGTCGCAGCCACTGCATTTGATTTGTTTCTTTTGGCTAAAACATAATCCGATCTGTCCGATCCGAAATGTCGTTGCTCTAGCTCTTATAGTCTTTGAGCCCTAGACAGACAGACAGGGCTCAATTGACTCGGCTATTGATGCTGATCAAGAATATATATACTTTATGGGGTCGGAAACGATTTCCATTTTCACCACATATCTAATATACCCCTACACTTATTTTGAGTATCGGGTATAAAAAGATTATAAGTAAAATATAACCAGTATTTAGGGTATCTCCCACTTCCATACGCACTCTTCCTGATTTTGTTGTTGGCGTTGTGGCTTTTGCTGGAATGTAGGCAATGATTTGGTCGAGTGCTGGGGCTCTGTCTGGACCTCGCCCGAAAATCACCCTGTGGCTCTCTGGTTCTGTGGCTTTGTGACTCTTTTGGATTTTAATCACCTTCCGCTTATCGCGGGGAAATTTTAGTGTTTTTACTGTTTGGTTTTTCCGAGTGGCCATGGATTGGCTGGCTGTAACGTTCCAATACCGATGATGGTTTGTGCTTTATGTTCTTGCAGATAAACTGTACCGCCAGCATGGCATCCACCGGGATCCGTCGCACGAGCTGCGCTCGGTCTGCTTCACGGCCCTGCAGATGGCACTGGACACCAAGCGGCCAAAATTCATCACGATGGGCCTCAACGGGCTGCATGTAAGTGGCAGGACAATCAGATCCGAACGGAAGGAAAGGAAAGAGAAGGAAAGGGAAGGGGGAGATTTATCATTGAAAATGTACATATTTTGTACTCTTTGTGTGGCCCCCGGGGATTGGATTGGCTAATTGCTCGGAAATCTCTTGTGCCCTGGAGACCCGGCAGCCTCTCTTGTTGAGAGGAGAGGGGGTTCTTTCCTTTGCTTTCCCTTCTGTTTATCCACATTCTTCTGTATTTCTTCTGGTATTTATTCTGTTTGATTTCGGCTCCTTTCTACAGCGCGTTATCAAGGACGAACGGTTCTATATTGGCCTTGAGCCCGAGGACGATTCCGTATGGCTGCCATCGCAGCTGCTGCGTGCCACCAATGGCATCCTGCCATCGACCAGCAGCGAGGACACCGTGGTGAATGTGCTCCGGCTCTTCCTGGCCATGGCCTGCTCCCCGGCCTGCACCTTGAATGGGCGCCTGCTCATCGAGATACTCTCACGCTGTGGCGAATGCTGGGAGATGGGCTCCAGGGCCACCAAGGCGGCCTCCTTGGCGGCTGCCTCCCAATGCCTGCGCACCTTCTGCGCCTTTCTCATCGAGGAGGCCGAGGAGGTGAAGAAGACGGCGCCGGCGGGCCTGATGACCCAGACGCAGGCCTCGGCCGTCTACAACGAGGTGATACCCGTGATGCAGTGGCTCTGTAGCCGTCTGGTGGAGCCCAATGTCAACACATCGCCGAACAAGAAGTGCGAGAATCACAGCTCCCTCTACCTAACCGAATGCATACTGACCCTCAGCTCGGCCCTGCCCCGCAATGTCCATGCCAATCCGCACTTTACCTCCTTCCTGTGGCAAAAGTTCTGCCCCACATTGGCCGCCGCCCTGGGCTCCCCAGGACGCATCAATCTGGACAAAAAGTTCACCTACAAGTGAGTGGACTGGAGTGGCGGCAGCCATCGTCTTTTATACCATTCTTATATCCATTTCCATTTTTGTTGCAGAGACGCTCTCCACATGATAGAGAATGAGGCACGCGGCTTCTTTACGGGCCCTGGCCTGGACGGACCTCAGGCACGATGCGTATACCTGACGGCCATTCAGCTGCTGCGCATCGCCGGGGCCCACGGTTCGCTGCGTCCTATGCTGGAGGCTTTGTTCCATCGTATGCTGCTGCTGCCGTCGCCCCAGAACCGCACGGAGCCGCTGCGTTGTGTCCGCGAGATATTCAAGAGCCCCGAGCGGCTGATCGATCTGGCTGTCATCCTCTACGTGGACAAGAACACGGCCCAGGGCTGTAGCGATGAAATGGCCCTGTTCAGACTGTAAGTAAATGCGAAACAAAACGAGATTCAATCTATAAAAAAAACGTTGTATAGCTTGGTGGATGCCATGGAGGAGTGCGCCTACGGGGCCAGCGGCTCCGGGGGCAGCGCCTGCACGGAGGCCAGCCTCCAGGCCAGCGTCGAGTGCATGGTGGCCCTGCTGGACAGCCTCCAGGTGCTGTGCAGCGGCGAGCTGACCGAATCTATGATCAGCGATCAGATTGTCCAGGTCGTGAACTCCCGCCACGATTTGCTGAAAGACGCCGACTATTCGGGACCCTTGACCTACCAGAGCATGGCCCGGCTGCCGGCGCCCTATCGGGATGCAATTGTGGAGTTCCGTCAGAATGTGTTCGAGACCTCTTCGGGGTCGGAGAGCGATGGCGAGCCGCCGAACGAGCAGGACGGGGCCTCCAATGGCTCGGGCGATACGGAGGGGCCCGAGGACGATGAGCACAGCAGCTCCAGTGATGAGACGTCGCGCGTGGAGAATCGCTGGCCCTACTCCCACCTGGAGGCCCCTGTTATGCCCATCCGTACGGACAGCGACAATGATCGACAGCATGCTCGGGACTTTGCTCGTGCCTTGCGGCAAGATCTGGTGCCGAAGCTCCTGCGCCTGCGCAGCTGCGTGGAGCTGGACGAGGCCATGCAGGAATTCGCGTCGGCTGTGTGCCAGGAGAACAGCATGAACTTTTCCGACTTTGACTACAATCTCACGGCCATCAATGCGGATGGCATCTACCTGGCCATCTACTCCTCCCTGCTGCTCAGCCTCCAGCTGATGCGCGCCGGCTATTACGATCAGGCTCTTCCGGCGCCCCCCAATCGAGACATCCTGGTGCCCATGTCCGAGCAGCAGTTCGTGACCTCCGTGCAGAATACGGGCGTTCTGGTCTACCTATCATCGCCGTGGCTCTGCGAGCTCTATCAATCTGTGACCATGTGCAACATCCTCGAGGCCATGTCTCGCCAACAGCTGGAGGGCACTGGGCCGCGGTGCGCCCTCGTCGATATGCTGTGCGATGCGGGCGGCCTGGGGGCCACACAGATGCTCTCCGAGTGGCAGCGCCTGCAGACGGCCACGCAGGTAAAGCACAGCGATGACGAGCAGCACGACAAGCGCCGGGAGGCTGCCAAGAAACTGTGCCGCCGCCTCCTCACCTGCTGCTGGGACTCCATGGTGATTGTGCTCAGCTCGGGGCTGGGGGATCTGCAGACAACGTCTGCCTCCAACAAACTGGTGGCTCTGTCCAAGCGCACACTGAGAGTTAAGGCCAAGGCGAACAAGTCCAACGGTGAGGCCTTGTATGCCATGTGCCTGGATGGACTGCATTCGGTAAGATCTGTCTGCTCTGAGTAACCCCAAAAAGAACCATAAATAATCTTTTCATTTCTGGTACAGGCGGCCACGCTCAGCAACAGTCTCAATCTGCAGCATTTGGCCGGAAAGATCCTCAATCTGTTGGCCTCCAATGTGTGCCAGACCACGGGACCGCGCATCTCCGCCAGCCAGGCCATGTCCATGGATGTGGTGCTCACGGGTGGCCTCAATCTGGGCAGCTACAGTGCCGACTGCTGGCCGAGCATCTTTGCCGTCTGCCGGCACGTGAGCCAGCTGGAGCATGAGATCTTTAGCATGCAGAATCCATCCATATCCGCATCGCCGGGTAGCAGTCGCAGGGATCTGGAGACGGGCGAGAAGCTGAGCAACGGCAATGCCCAGGATAAGCTGAATCTCTCTTCGATACCCATCGATGATGATGAGACCTGGTAAGGCGTGGCAGTCTCCGAAGTCTATCTGCAAAAGACTATACAAATCTCTCTCTCTTTTTCTCGCGGCAGCGTCGATGTCTACAGCTTCCTGCAGGCGCCCATGCAGAGCCCCAACACGAACATCACGTGCATACTGAAGGTCTACTCGGGCACCAACGAGACGGTGCTGCTGAGCCAGTGCGACACCTCCAAGGTGCTGTGCGCGTTGTCCCATCAGGCGGAGAATCTGTTCAGCGATGCCGCCGAACGGCTCAGCCTCCCGTCACTGTGCCAGTTCCTCAAACATCTGTGCCGCGCCTCGCGCGACCAGCTGTACAAGAGCCAGGTGGCCCGCAAGGGCACACGGGTTTGGTGGCCCAGCAAGGGCTGGAAGAAGCTCGATTCGCTGCCCATGTCGCTGCTCCTGCATCGCATCGGAGACGTGACGCTCAAGGTATTTCGCAGCTCGAGGCCGCTGCTGCACGTGCTCAAGGTGTGGGCCATTACGGGACCGCATCTGATGGATGCCGCCTGCCACAGGGATCGCATGATCTCGAAGCGGGCCATCGAGTACATACACGACATAATAACGGCACTGCTGGTGGAGCAATCGGAGCTGCCGTATTTCCACTTTAACGAGGCCCTGCTGAAGCCCTTTGAGAATCTCCTCAGCATGGACACGGATGTGGATGTGCAGGATCAGATTGTGGCCTGCCTCTACGAAGTGGTGGAGGCACATCGCACCGAGATACGCTCCGGCTGGAGGCCGCTCTTCGGTACGCTGCGCAATGCCCGCAGCCGGATGCTCAACATGAGCAATATCATTGACATCTTTCGGGTGTTTCTCGACTCGGACAACACGCTGGTGTTTGCCAACGCCGGACTCGACTGTATTCTGTGTCTGCTCTCCTATCTGGAGATCTCAGGCGGTGGCACCAACAACAACAACAATACTTGTACCGGCTCCAGTAATGGCGCAGGAGGAGGAGCAGCTGGCGGAGGAGACGAAGATAATGCCTTTAGGCCCACAGACTTCCTGCACGAAACGCTACGTTTCTTGGAGCGCTGCTCCAGCATCCTGGGCTTCATGTACAGCATGCCCAAGTGCCCGAACTTCCACTCCACGTACAAGATCAAGGGCATCTCGTACACGCACATTATCGATGCGAACATCCCCAGTTCGATGGAGAATTTCACCTACTTTGGGAACGACTATCTGCAGACACGGAACGAGCAGTACATGATCTCCTACCGCTCCCTGCATATCGACAAGGACACCATCGTGAAGATCGATGAGATGGACAAGCCCTCGGGCGTGCTCAAGGTGTGGTTCCTCCTGCTGGATGGCCTCACCAACTCCCTGATCGTCTGTCCCTACTCGCACCAGGCGCCCATTCTGCAGACGATCTTCAAGCTCTTCAAGAACCTGCTGGCCACGCCGGGCATCGATTTCGGGTTCTATTGCATCAATCATCTGCTGGTGCCGATGATCCAGGACTGGCTGCGGTACATCAACAAGACGGGCGCCTCCTGGCAGCTGATCGAGAAGAACTTCAAGCACTGCTGCTGCATGACCACCGATCTGGTGGTGGAGTTTATTGAGAAATCTGTGCCCGAGCAGCGTCGGTTGGGCGCTGGGACCAAGACGCGTCTCGCCCAGATCGTCCATCCCGCCGATAATCTCATCTACTCGAAGCTCAAGTTCGTGACGGAGCGGATCGAACAGCAGGAGCTGCCGAATCTGAATCTTAATCCCACAACACAGGCGGGTCCCGACAGCAGTCGCTACGACAGCAGCTCCAGTTCGGCTAGCGAGGAGCAGAGCAAGGGCTGCTCGGGGGTGCCCCCAGCTTCAGCTGGGGCTGCCTCCACCTCTAGCGGCAGCAGCAACCTCATCGAGTCCCCCACCAAAATATCCAGCTCGGCGACGCTGGCCCTCAAGCAGCTCCTGCTCGTACTGATCGAGTGCGCTGCGCAGTCACAGGAGGCGATTGCACGCATTTCGGTGTCCTGCCTGAAGCACGTCATCCTATCGACGGGCATGCTGTTCAACGAGTCCCAGTGGATGATCGCCTGCTCGGCCATCCATCGCGCCTGCACCGTGACCATCGCACCGCTGCGACAGCTCTCGTTCGCCTTCCACGAGAAGTCCAACAGCTTCTACGGGGACTGTGCCAACGTGAAGGTGGCCGCCCGCCGCGACAGCAGCCTGGAGGAGCTGGCCCGCATCTACTCGCTGGCACAGCAGGTCTTCCTGTCCGACAATCAGCGGGAGCCCGGCCAGGGACAGGGGCCCAGTGGCACGGGACCCGGTACGGGGGCGGGAAGCCAATGCAAGCTGTCGGACGACCGGAGCTACTCCTTCCTGCTGTACCCCCTCAACAATGGCTTCAATTCGAATCTTGACAACTTTGTTATACGGATTCCGTTCAAGAATCTGGTGGTGGGGCTGCTGGCCAACCAAATGCTGCTGCAGCTGGTGGCCAAGCTGCTGCTGTCCCGGCTCAAGTGCGTGCCGCAAGCGGTGTCCACCTGCATCTTCGACAATTATGCGGGTGCGGCGGCCACGCCCAGCCACGACTATGATCTGGACTTTCGGTCCAAGGAGATACTGCTGCGCTGCGTCAAGCAGTACCTGATGTCCGCCCTGGAGTTCGACTCGCGGCCTGGCCTCAAGTTCCTCATGCAGAAGGTGTCCAACATCGAGTACGCGGCCAATTTGTACAAGCAGATGACCTCCTCCTGGATGATCTACTACATAGCCCTCGTCGACTCGCACCTCAACGACATTGTGGTGTACAACCTGGGGCCGGAGGATCTCAACTTCATTCTGGAGTCCTGCTCGCGGCTGAACACCACCACCGTGAAGAAGAAGGAGAACTTTGTGCGGTATCTGTTCTGCCTGCAGGATGCCTGGAATCTGGTCTGCGAGCTCTACTTGAGCAATTCGGCCCTGCACGACCTCGAGACGAGCTCGAGCAGCAGCAGGCTACGGGGGCCGGAGCAACAGTCAGCGACGGCGGCGGCTTCCAAGAAGCCGCCAATGGCGGCGCCGCCACACCATCCGCACCCACACATCCATCCCCATGCGCACCAAATGGTGGGCAAACCCATGTGCATATCGCTGAACGGGAATGGCAATGGGACTGCTGACGCCGAGATGACCGAGGCCTCAGGATCGGGTGGATCGCCCAGCAAATGCGTTCAGCTGCAGGAGGAGGAGAACGTGACGATGACCACGCTGATCAGCGAATTCCAGCCAAAGTGCCGGAACAATCCGTTCGATACGAATCGGCAGGCCAAGTCCGAGGCCGAGTCCATATCGCCGGAGATTGAGCAGCAGCGGGCCAGCAGCATTCTAAAGGACTCGAACTACAAGCGGGCGGCGCTCGCCCAATTGGTGGTGGCCTCCATGGAGCTGCTGCGCTCGCTGCCCGGCGAGGCCGAAGAGAATCTCAAGCTGCTAATGACGCCCACCATACGGGAGGCCTTCCGCCTTGTCCAGCTGCAGGGCAACGAGCTGAAGGTCAACCAGTTTTAGGCAATGCTTGTTGAGTTTTATTTTGATCTGTAGGCGCAGCTAAAACCGGCCCCTACTCCAGAATCCAGTATCCTGTATCCTGTATCCTGTATCCTGCTACCAGTTCCCAGTTCTCCTAATCCTAATTCCTAGTCCTCCTGCCAATGGCTAATTTACAGCTACGTCTGCATCTTGAACTGCTCACGCCCTTGCCAAAGGTCACCCTCTAACTCTCTATCTCTATCTCTCACTCTCTATCTGTATCTCTGTGTCTCTCTGTCCGTCTCTATTATTCGCCCGCAGTTCCCCAGCACAGCAGGCAAAACCATTTCAAAGTAAAAGCTCAACATGTCAGCCAGCACAAAGCAAAACTAAGCAAAAGTACAACGGTATAAACGAAACCGAAGGAAAGGAAAAGAAGAAAGATCACTAAGGTCAGGATTCTGAAGAAGATATGTAGATGAAGATGAAGAAGTAGATGACTAGAAGAACTAGCATAAGCAGAAGCAGCAACAGCGTTAGTCAAGAACGTGTGTAGTCCTGTAAATTATATTTAGTCGAAAACTTTCTCTCAACCTGAAAGCCGCCCCTCCTGAAAGCACTTTTCCCCAATGTACGTTTATTGTAAAGAACTGTTAGCTAGCACTGACTCCCAAGCAGATCCCAACCAAGAAGCCCAACCCGACCCCCAATAGCAACACAAAGAAATCTAATATAATATAATATAATATAAAATAATATGCATTAAGATTATAGCAAACTGTAAACGTATGTAAAACTTATAGCGAATGTTAACTAACACAAAATCAGTGCCGCCCATTAATCCACGATTACCACCATTAACGATTAGACACACTAACACACACACACTAACAAACACAGCCTAAAACATATAGAGACATACGATATGATACACATATTGTACTGCAAATATAGCATGTGCATATGTGTGTCCGAGTAGTCCCGTGCTGCCTTTCAAAACTTGCATACCTATGTACCAGTGGGTACCAAACCCAACCAAACCAAAGCAAACAAAAATTAAGGATAACCTATCACCTCCTGCACTATCCGAAGCTTATTAGCCTCTCTGTATTTTCGAAGAAAAAACCCAACTAAACTAAGTGGAGCTGATCCGTAACCGATAACCAAAGAAAGTAGCTCAAGGAAGAACTGGAACTCTCGATCTTTTTGGGGGATCAGTCCTACTGCTCTACCTTTAAAAAAGTAAACGCACTCCCACGCCCGCGCTACATACATACAGACATATACATATACATATACATACATATACATAAATATATATATGAAGCTATGTGCCCTACATAAAGATCTAAAGAGTTAGATGTCTATATATACTATATACATTAAAACTATACATATAAATGAATGTACTTATACATATGTATTATAGTTGTACTCGATGTTGTAAATGTCTAAACGGAAAACATTTTTATATGTGAAACTATTAGCAACAGCGCTACAAATCTATACATATACCATATACATATAAAGTATACATAAATATTTATTTATTTTCGCTTCGTGGTATATACACATAAATTTACATACATACATACATATACTATATACATATACATATATAAAGAACTATGTACTTGTGTTATTTACTTGGCCCCATCTTGCCTCCTCTCTATAAGCATTACTCGTCTTTTGTCGCTCTCTCTATCTCTCTCCCTGCCCCGTCTCTTATTATGAGAATCTCTAACTGTACTCGAATCTATCTTAAAACTGTAAAACTGTAAGTGCGAGAAGAGAGTGTAAGTGAAAGTGCAAGTGCGCAAAGCTCTGTCGGAAGAACGATCACAGGACCGGATAGTAGTATGGAAGGACCATATGCTAAGTAACCATATGTTAGTACTAAAACTCTCCAAGAGTGTGCATATGTAATGTGGAATGAAAATAAAATGATTTAACAACGCTTTCGCAACTTAACTAAACAATTTAAATGTGTTTTTCAAGGAAGGGGGACTACACATATGTACATATGTATGTATATTCTCTAATGTATTTATAAACCTTAAAGAAGAGGCCGGTACAAGTGTGCGCACTATAGTGAGTCGAGGTAACAGGTCAACAATCACACTGTGCACAGTATCAAAGCTGTCATTTCAATTCCGCTTGTTCCTTTCATTTTCTGACTGACTGACTCAGTTCTGTCGTACAGAAGAAACCAGTATTTTAATGATATGCCGATCACGAAAAGACATGCCACGCCCAGATCGGCAGCTGTTTAGCCGAGATATAGCGTTTAGAAAAAACCAGTATTTCAAAGATACGCAAATCCAAATCTTTGGAAGGCTATATCTTGGACAAATAGGGCCAGATCGGTGAAGGACCTACTCTCTCAGGATCCTAAGAACCCAGACCGTCGATTGGCATCAAAATCTCGACTTCGAAAATGAGGCCGATTTTTTGAAAATTTAATGATGTAACCATCATGATTTTTTGAGAAAATCGTGAAAAAATTGATGTCCTTTTTTCCAATGGCAGTCGATTTGCAGGACTTTCCCGATCACGAAAAGACATGCCACGCCCAGATCGGCAGCTGTTTAGCCGAGATATAGCGTTTAGAAAAAACCAGTATTTCAAAGATACGCAAATCCAAATCTTTGGAAGGCTATATCTTGGACAAATAGGACCAGATCGGTGAAGGACCTACTCTGTCGGGATCCTAGGAACCCAGACCGTCGATTGGCATCAAAATCTCGACTTCGAAAATGGGGCCGATTTTTTGAAAATTTAATGATGTAACCATCATGATTTTTTGCGAAAATCGTGAAAAAATTGATGTCCTTTTTTAGAATGGCAGTCGATTCGCAGGACTTTCCCGATCACGAAAAGACATGCCACGCCCAGATCGGCAGCTGTTTAGCCGAGATATAGCGTTTAGAAAAAACCAGTATTTCAAAGATACGCAAATCCAAATCTTTGGAAGGCTATATCTTGGACAAATAGGACCAGATCGGTGAAGGACCTACTCTGTCGGGATCCTAGGAACCCAGACTGTCGATTGGCATCAAAATCTTGACTTCGAAAATGAGGCCGATTTATTGAAAATTTAATGATGTAACCATCATGATTTTTTGAGAAAATCGTGAAAAAATTGATGTCCTTTTTTTAGAATGGCAGTCGATTCGCAGGACTTTCCCGATCACGAAAAGACATGCCACGCCCAGATAGGTCCATAAATAGTCGAGATATACCCAAAGAAAACGTGAAAAAATCGGCAATTTTGATCGCAAGTCGAGGATTGTTGTTGGACAACAAAATAAATCTTTGGAGAACATTTTTCTTGTAGAACATTTAACAACAACAACAGACTACAACAAGCCAGTTTTGTTTTGTTGTTTTCTCCACTGTTTCTGGCCAGATCAGTGTGATGGCTTCCTGTGGTCGAAAAAATGTGCCCGACTTAGTGGAGCCCTTATCAAAGATTCTGAATATTTTTCCCAATCAAACCCATTAGTATTTATTTATTTATTTTATTATTCGACAAAGGAATCCAAAAAATCCTTACTAACTTATTTCCATCTTAAATAGTAAAAAAAAAACAAAAAATTACGATATCATACATGAAATAGCTGGCATTGCGCTGGCGAAGGGCCCAACAGATGGGCTCATTATTGCTATAGTTGGTCTGGTGGAGATTAGCCACAAAGGTTGCATGGGTCCTTGGGGTCCTGGCAGGCGTACTCACGCCAATCCTACTAAGCAGGTCAGGGCATTTGATTTTACCCACTCAGAGGTTATAGGTAAAGATCTGAGCATCAATGGTCGTTCCACCCTAGAGGGAGGAGAGATGCACGAGGCGAAATCTGCGAACTTTCTGGATTAGCTCACAGGCTCTTCGGCTCTGGCGTTCGGCTATTGTCACGTCATCATGAGCCAGCCCTGACGCCCATTTATACGCCGCCGAATCAAACGATGGGCTACAGCTTCAAAACGCGTAACTGAATCAATATTATGTATACAATTATGGAAATATTTAAAAATATATCTTCCTACATAGAGGACCTATGTTTCCTTTGCCATAAAGCATAGCCTATCAAAGCATACCGCGGCGTATTCGAGACAGACTGAGTCCAACCCCAGCCAGACAGAATTGTATCCCAGCAGGACAGAAGCGCACTCCCTGCAAGATCCGAACGTAACAAGCCATTGTCATCCTTCGACCTGGCCATCGACAACAAGGACTTCGAATATGACAACCAAGGGAGAGGCTACGCGAGCTACTAGATTTTAGAAAGATATCGTTGTTGTTAGGTTTAAGATAGATACAAATGTTTTCCACTTGTTTATTTATTTATACTAAGCTAAGTTTTGATCAATAAAACTATTGAAAAATCATCCTTGCTGTATTCTGTATTGGGGAAACTGTCCCGATTACAAAAAGGCGTGTCACGCCCTGATCGGTTCACAAATAGCGGAGAAAACTAAATTTTGTTGATTGGGGAAAAGGTCCTTGATCCTTGATAAGGACTCCATCAAATCAGGGACATTTTTCCAATTACAGGAAGCCATCGCACGCCCAGATCAGCCTACAAACAGCGCAGAAAACTGAATATGTATAGTTGGGGTTGCTGAAGTCCTTGCCGAAGGATCAAGGAAAATTTTCTGATCCCGGCGGGCCATGGCACGTCCCGATCGGGTCACAAATAAGGGAGAAAAGAGTCGCGTCAAATGGCTGAGATACCAGGCGAACAGAAATCAGCAGCAAGAAACTGCAGAAAATGAAATAAAGTTGCATACTTTTGGGGACCCAAAAAATTAAAAAAAAACAGCTACCTTCTACTGATTTCTGTTCGCCTGGTATCTCAGCCATTTAACGCGACTCTATTCTTTTTGTACGGTGGCGCTCCCATCGGAGATTTCTTGAACTACGTTTTCAAAGCTAGTTACGAGCCAGTTTTGTTTTCTACGTTAGTTGAGGCCCGATCGGGACATGCGACCTGTGTTCGGAATAACATTCTGGATTTGATGCATTTGGTCCTTATCAAGGACCAAGGATCAAGGATGTCTTCTCTAGACATATATACATATCTTGTTTTCTCCCTTATTTGTGGCCTGAGTGGAAGGTGCCCTGGCCCACCGTGATCAGAAAAATGTCCTTGATCCTTCGTTAAGGACTCCAAAGACCCCAACCATATATATTTAGTTTTCTCGGCTATTTGCAGAGCGATCGAGACGTGCGACGTGCTTCCTGTGTTCGGAATAGCATCCTTGATCTAATACAGTCCTTATCAAGGACCAAGGATCAAGCATATTTTCACCAGACATATACATATTGTTTTCTCCCTTATTTGTGACCCGATCGGGACGTGCCATGGCCCGCCGGGATCAGAAAATTTTCCTTGATCCTTCGGCAAGGACTTCAGCAACCCCAACTATACTTTTCCCCAATCAACAAAATTTAGTTTTCTCCGCTATTTGTGAACCGATCAGGGCGTGACACGCCTTTTTGTAATCGGGACAGTTTCCCCAATACAGAATACAGCAAGGATGATTTTTCAATAGTTTTATTGATCAAAACTTAGCTTAGTATAAATAAATAAACAAGTGGAAAACATTTGTATCTATCTTAAACCTAACAACAACGATATCTTTCTAAAATCTAGTAGCTCGCGTAGCCTCTCCCTTGGTTGTCATATTCGAAGTCCTTGTTGTCGATGGCCAGGTCGAAGGATGACAATGGCTTGTTACGTTCGGATCTTGCAGGGAGTGCGCTTCTGTCCTGCTGGGATACAATTCTGTCTGGCTGGGGTTGGACTCAGTCTGTCTCGAATACGCCGCGGTATGCTTTGATAGGCTATGCTTTATGGCAAAGGAAACATAGGTCCTCTATGTAGGAAGATATATTTTTAAATATTTCCATAATTGTATACATAATATTGATTCAGTTACGCGTTTTGAAGCTGTAGCCCATCGTTTGATTCGGCGGCGTATAAATGGGCGTCAGGGCTGGCTCATGATGACGTGACAATAGCCGAACGCCAGAGCCGAAGAGCCTGTGAGCTAATCCAGAAAGTTCGCAGATTTCGCCTCGTGCATCTCTCCTCCCTCTAGGGTGGAACGACCATTGATGCTCAGATCTTTACCTATAACCTCTGAGTGGGTAAAATCAAATGCCCTGACCTGCTTAGTAGGATTGGCGTGAGTACGCCTGCCAGGACCCCAAGGACCCATGCAACCTTTGTGGCTAATCTCCACCAGACCAACTATAGCAATAATGAGCCCATCTGTTGGGCCCTTCGCCAGCGCAATGCCAGCTATTTCATGTATGATATCGTAATTTTTTGTTTTTTTTTTACTATTTAAGATGGAAATAAGTTAGTAAGGATTTTTTGGATTCCTTTGTCGAATAATAAAATAAATAAATAAATACTAATGGGTTTGATTGGGAAAAATATTCAGAATCTTTGATAAGGGCTCCACTAAGTCGGGCACATTTTTTCGACCACAGGAAGCCATCACACTGATCTGGCCAGAAACAGTGGAGAAAACAACAAAACAAAACTGGCTTGTTGTAGTCTGTTGTTGTTGTTAAATGTTCTACAAGAAAAATGTTCTCCAAAGATTTATTTGGTTGTCCAACAATAATCCTCGACTTGCGATCAAAATTGCCGATTTTTTCACGTTTTCTTTGGGTATATCTCGACTATTTATGGACCTATCTGGGCGTGGCATGTCTTTTCGTGATCGGGAAAGTCCTGCGAATCGACTGCCATTCTAAAAAAGGACATCAATTTTTTCACGATTTTCTCAAAAAATCATGATGGTTACATCATTAAATTTTCAATAAATCGGCCTCATTTTCGAAGTCAAGATTTTGATGCCAATCGACAGTCTGGGTTCCTAGGATCCCGACAGAGTAGGTCCTTCACCGATCTGGCCCTATTTGTCCAAGATATAGCCTTCCAAAGATTTGGATTTGCGTATCTTTGAAATACTGGTTTTTTCCACAAGCTACACACTTGATCATAATAATAGGTACACCTTGAAGCTTTTCATTAATAATTAGTTTTATCGTACTTTAAGTGTTGAAAACAAAATTTTGTTTGGTATGTTTTATTTGTCAATGTATTGCAGTTCCGTGACAAAAAAATGAAACAGGGAAACCGCCGAATAACAGAGCTTTAAGCGAAATTGCGAGTTGACATCACATTATGGCTGATCAAAATAATAGGTACAGTGTCAGTAAATTTTGAATATCAAGTGAATAATTTGGAAATTCTTGACTATTTGGCAATTAAACATCCATTTCATTTAACAACAGTCTAAATATAAACAAATAATTATTTTTTTTCTTACAAGAATAGGCCGAAAGTCTTATTGTACAGCCCAATTGGCTCTTAGTCTGGAAAAAGAAGGCCAATATCTTCGGGCCATTGCCAGATTAATGAAAAGGTCTCATAATTTTATTACAATGCTTTAAAAATTAAAACCTAGTCAGGAAACTCGCGGAAAGCCACAGAAAACAACCATAACACTTGACCACTACATACTTTTCTTTGAGAAATAAGGACCCATTTAAGTCGTCAAAGGCTATTGCATCAGAAATTGCACTAGAAGTTAGTGCTCCAACGATCCGTATACGGCTACAACAAGCCAGCCTTCCAAGGAGAATAGAAAGAAAGGTCCCACTTACGCGTCAAAAAAATTTAGCCATGGGGCAAACTTTTGCTAAAGATCATAAAGACTGCGCAGGATGCGCCGGAGAGAAAAAGTGGAGAAGCCTTTTATGGAGCGACGAAACTAAAATAAATTTATTAGGGAATGAATGTGAAAGCAATGTAGGAAGCCCTAAACGAAAGAATTTTGATCCATGTTTCAAACAAAAAATTTCTCAAACATGGAGGTGCCAGCTAAAGACATGGGGCTGCTCATCCTGGTACGGCGTAGGTCCATTTTTCCTGACAACGAACAGAATGGACGCTGAGCAATACAAACCCAGATTGCAGACAGTTATGCTACCTTATGCTGAAGAAAACATGAGTTTCCATTGGGTATTTAAGTAATATAACGACCCAAGACACACATCTAAGCTTTTGACCAACATTTTTGAGGACCAAACAATAGACGTTTTAAAGTGGCTTCCTAAATTTTCCGACTTAAATCCAATCGAAAACTTGTGGGGAGATTTACGAAACAAAATTAGCTAAGTTTTCATTTTCAAATAATCAAAAATTATGCGAGGGCGTCCAAAAATTGTGATATGAGACACCTGCCAGACGCTTATTACAAGTACGCCAAAAATAATTATAAAGGTGACAAAAAATAAAGGTGGATACATCGGATATTAACTATAAATCCCATTTATGCAACAAAAAAATAATAATAATCAGTTAAAAAACTTTTTTCATAACAAAACTTGAAGTGTACCTATTATTTTGAGCAGCCTGACATTGACTCTGAAGTACAAATTGCTCTCTTTTCTTTTATAACATTATCCTATAATATAATAAAGTTTTTTTTATTGAAAACAAATACTGTTGGTATAATTGAAAACTAATTTTAAGTTTCAAATATTGAACACAACTGCGTTTTGTTATGTTAAAGTTTACGTAGATGTGTGTACCTATTATTATGATCAAGTGTGTATATCTCGACTAAACAGCTGCCGATCTGGTCGTGGCATGTCTTTTCGTGATCGGGAAAGTCCTGCGAATCGACTGCCATTCTAAAAAAGGACATCAATTTTTTCACGATTTTCGCAAAAAATCATGATGGTTACATCATTAAATTTTCAAAAAATCGGCCTCATTTTCGAAGTCGAGATTTTGATGCCAGTCGGCGGTCTGGGTTCCAAGGATCCCGACAGAGTAGGTCCTTCACCGATCTGGCCCTATTTGTCCAAGATATAGCCTTCCAAGGATTTGGATTTGCGTATCTTTGAAATACTGGTTTTTTCTAAACGCTATATCTCGGCTAAACAGCTGCCGATCTGGGCGTGGCATGTCTTTTCGTGATCGGGAAAGTCCTGCGAATCGACTGCCATTCTAAAAAAGGACATCAATTTTTTCACGATTTTCGCAAAAAATCATGATGGTTACATCATTAAATTTTCAAAAAATCGGCCTCATTTTCGAAGTCGAGATTTTGATGCCAATCGACAGTCTGGGTTCCTAGGATCCCGACAGAGTAGGTCCTTCACCGATCTGGCCCTATTTGTCCAAGATATAGCCTTCCAAAGATTTGGATTTGCGTATCTTTGAAATACTGGTTTTTTCCACAAGCTATATCTCGACTAAACAGCTGCCGATCTGGTCGTGGCATGTCTTTTCGTGATCGGGAAAGTCCTGCGAATCGACTGCCATTCTAAAAAAGGACATCAATTTTTTCACGATTTTCGCAAAAAATCATGATGGTTACATCATTAAATTTTCAAAAAATCGGCCTCATTTTCGAAGTCGAGATTTTGATGCCAGTCGGCGGTCTGGGTTCCAAGGATCCCGACAGAGTAGGTCCTTCACCGATCTGGCCCTATTTGTCCAAGATATAGCCTTCCAAAGATTTGGATTTGCGTATCTTTGAAATACTGGTTTTTTCCACAAGCTATATCTCGACTAAACAGCTGCCGATCTGGTCGTGGCATGTCTTTTCGTGATCGGGAAAGTCCTGCGAATCGACTGCCATTCTAAAAAAGGACATCAATTTTTTCACGATTTTCGCAAAAAATCATGATGGTTACATCATTAAATTTTCAATAAATCGGCCTCATTTTCGAAGTCGAGATTTTGATGCCAATCGACAGTCTGGGTTCTTAGGATCCTGAGGGAGTAGGTCCTTCGCCGATCTGGCCCTATTTGTCCAAGATATAGCCTTCCAAAGATTTGGATTTGCGTATCTTTGAAATACTGGTTTTTTCCACAAGCTATATCTCGACTAAAAAGCTGCCGATCTGGGCGTGGCATGTCTTTTCGTGATCGGGAAAGTCCTGAAAATCGACTGCCATTGGAAAAAAGGACATCAATTTTTTCACGATTTTCGCAAAAAATCATGATGGTTACATCATTAAATTTTCAAAAAATCGGCCTCATTTTCGAAGTCGAGATTTTGATGCCAATCGACGGTCTGGGTTCCTAGGATCCCGACAGAGTAGGTCCTTCTCCGATCTGGCCCTATTTGTCCAAGATATAGCCTTCCAAAGATTTGGATTTGCGTATCTTTGAAATACTGGTTTTTTCCACAAGCTATATCTCGACTAAAAAGCTGCCGATCTGGTCGTGGCATGTCTTTTCGTGATCGGGAAAGTCCTGAAAATCGACTGCCATTGGAAAAAAGGACATCAATTTTTTCACGATTTTCGCAAAAAATCATGATGGTTACATCATTAAATTTTCAAAAAATCGGCCTCATTTTCGAAGTCGAGATTTTGATGCCAATCGACGGTCTGGGTTCTCAGGATCCTGAGAGAGTAGGTCCTTTGCCGATCAGGCGCCGGTCAGCTGGTGGACAGCCTTCATCGAGCGCACACTCGCTCATATGAATACCAGGAGAGTGACGTCGCATGAGATCTTCCTGGCCACCTGTGCGGCCTCCTAAAATGAATGGTATTCTGTTTAAATAAAGGGGGCTTAACAGGGCTAAGTTCGTACGGTATATTCTGAAAACGAGACAGTGTATTTCGGTATATTTCTATGGGCCAGACGTTTAATCCAACGAAAAAATGAGTCGTAATTTCTAATGTGCTACAGAAAACTGTGGATTCTTTAGTAGATAATTGTATCTGTTAGTGGGGTTTCTTTTAAATTAAATTAATTGAGGGGCCTAATATAAGGCTCGTATTTTGTACTCGTTGCATTTTCTGGACCGTTTTGCCTCTTGTCCATACCCACTTTTTCCTCCCATGATGTAGCAAATGTGTAGTTAACAACTACATCACATCTAAACAACACACCTTGCCCAGCTTGTCCACCTTGATCGATAGACCGGCGGTTACTAAGCGGCACTTCAAAAACTCGGCTTTGGCTGCGCGGTTCGTTTCTCTGTACACACGTTTCGCGGGCTACCGTCTACACATGACAATTCGTAAACAGTAAACATAAGAAATATTGCGCCGGCGTATAGTGTTTTTAAGTGCATTAATAACAGCATTACGTGCACACGCACTTTTCTGACTGATATTTTTTTTTCTTTGCTGTGCAACTGTTCCGTTTCGTGGAAAGGAAAGGCACATCGAAAGTGTTTCAATTTTTCACTGCACCTGTCCTGTCTGTCGTCTCACCTGAGCGCGCTCGCACTTCAAGCCACAAAAGTGTAAAGTGCATGCGGCAGCAGTAGCCTCTGCGATCTTTTTGTTGTTATTCGCGTCGCTGATTCTGCGATCCCCGCGCCGCCAGCACCGTCGCCGCCGCGAATCCAACAACAGATTCTCCGAAGCAAGAATTTGCGCGCTTCTTTGTGATTGTTGCCGCGCTCTAATTGCAAGAGTTTCGCGTGTGTTGCTCTTTGGTTTTTGTTTTGTTTTTGTTTGGCTCTCCTTAACATTAATACTTGTGCTTCTTTTGGACGCCCCACCGCACTGCAAATGAGGTAAATACATATACATTGTATTGTATACATATATGCAAGCCATTGGGATGTTCAACGCCTGTGTGTTCTGGCGCGAGTGTGTGTGTTCGAGAGTGTAATGTGACGCTTTATTTTGCCGTTGCTTGGCAGCCTCCTCCTTCCGCCAAACCGTTGGTTGGTATCTGTGTGTGTGTGTGTCTGCGCTTGTGTGTGTGTTTAAGCTGCTTAACGGGCGACACAATTTGTGAGAGAGCCGAGAGAGAGATATTATTAATAAATAATGCGTTAATTGTGCCGCGGCCTTCAATTGTTGTGACTCTTATTTCTGCTTTTGTTGTGTCTTGATTTGCTCTAAATATTTGTAAAGTCTAGTTCAAACGAAGAGACCAAGAAGAAAAGAAAGAGCAGAGGAAAGTTCTGCCTGTATGTGTATTCCTGTCGCTCTTAGGTAAGGATGCGAGTGAAAAGCCTGTCACCCTTGTCTCCGAGAAACGGACGGTAAGCAAAAGTTTTCACTGTCTCTGCGAAAGAACCGCGGGAGAGTGGTGGTTTCTCTGGCTGTCCCTTCTGAAGAAGGACCCCTCCGTTTAGGTTTCCACTGCTTGTCCCTAAAGGAAAAAGCAGTACGACTCTCTCTATCTCTGACATTTTCTCGTCCTCAGGATATAGCGGGGCATAGCTCTCTGTTTGAGCTCTCATATTAGAAAAATGAGGAAGAAAGTTCCCTGTTGCCGGAAGAAAGTTTTCCCGTACTGTCTTTCTGCCATTCCCTGTCCCTGTCTCTCCCACTACCCCCCATTATGATTGAACATCTGAATGACTGATTGATCATTGCAGCGACACCAATCTCTTATGCAATCCCCGCCAGCAATTGGGCATTCGAGAGGAGGCGAGGGATAGTGAGAGCACCTGGCCGGCCGAAAACGCCTGTGGTGAGGCATGAGGCAGCCAGCGGCAGGGGCAGCGGCAGTGGCAGTGGCGGCGGCAACGGAGACTTTCAAATGACTGAAGCCTGAGTTGTGGGCCAATCGGTTAATTGCATTTCCTGGCCAAAGCACAAGCCCCGTCATCCCCATCATCGTAATCATCATCATCGTTGTGGTTCCCATCATGATGAGGCGTTAATTGTGGTTTAATTACCCGGACAGTTGCCTGCGGAATGGCCTAACAGCCGCAACCGCAGCCGCAGCCGCAGTTGCAGTTGCAGTTTTGGTTGCAAATTGCAAAATGCAAAATGGAAAATGCCAATTCAAGTTGCGCGTATCTCATATATACACAAAATTGAAATTATAATGCAGAAAACTGAGGCTGCCTGCCGCCTGCGGCTGCCCAAGGCACATACACACACACACACACTCACACAGGCAGTGCCACTGCCACAGAGCCAGAGCCAGGCTCCTTTTGTAACCCAAGCCATCGAGGACGGGCTCCAGCTCTTGGCCTGGGCAACCAGTTCGCCTCGCCGCCCAGTTAGCCTCAAATGGCATTTCTGCCAGGCGGACAGACGGACAGACGGACGGACGGACGGACAGACAGACAGACAGGCAGGCGGCGGCGGCGACTCTCGGACTGGTTGGATTTTCTTGGCTGCTTGTCTGGCATTTGTAGGATAAGCCAAGCCGCCTTTCCAGTCAGCCTTCCTGCCTTCCTGGCCCCCTCCGCCCAATAAACAAACGACTGCTGGCTAAGCGGCGGCGGCTGCTGCTGTTTCTGCTGTTGCTGATGTTAATTTTTATAATCGGTATTTGTAGACCATTTTGGAGGGCCCAGAAGAACCCCCCTAGATCCCCAGGCAGATCCAGTTACCGAGTTTACCAGTTTTCCCAGTGCTACACAGCTGTGGCTCTTGGATTTTGGTATTATATGTTGTGTTGTCTAACGATCTATTAACTTTCATAGCAATAAAAAAAGAAGATGTCTTTGCAGGAGAGAAAAATGGCCTGGACAACTTTCGCTGCAGCAGAAGTCGGCCTGGCCTGCCTTCCGCAGCATCTGAGGCTCTCCTCTGTCGAAATGATGATCGGCAGCTAGCAGCCAGCAGCCGCGCCCTGCCAATCCAGTTTCTGGTGCAGCTTCAACGCCAACTTCCACTCCCCCGACTGCTGCAAGACTCTTGGCAGCTGGGCCTCCTCCATGTGGCAGCTGCTGCTGCTGCGCGTGGGCCCAACAGAGGAGGCACTACTTCAATTAAAACAACTGCCAACTGCCAACTGCAACTGCCACTGCCACAAAAATGAAACCGAAACCGAAACAGCGACGAACGAAACATCAATTTATGCAAAACAATTCAATTTTTGCGCCGCCATTCAGCGGTCATTTACCTGTGCATTAGGGCCAACCGAAACGTACTTGAAAGCCAGTGTTTCGTGTCACGCCTCGAAAGCAAGAGCCAAAGCAAAGCGACAGCCGTGTTGCTGCAACGTTTCACACGCTGCAAGAGTGGGTGGGTGGGTAGCAGCAGCTGCAACGTCGTCTGCCACAGCAGGTGTGTGGGAATCTTGGCCAAAATAGCAAAAGTTCAATAGCAGCCACACAGTCAGCCAACAGTTGATTGAAGAGGCGATTGTTGCTGCCACAAGGCAGCTGGTGGCGCTGCTCGCGCTGGTGGCGCCTGTGGCAGAGCCAATTTCCATCTGACGCAATACGGCATAGAGTGTCTCTTTGGGCTCATCTGCCGCTCATCTGGCACGCAATCACAGAAAAAAAGCTCTGAATGATTCGAGGCGCAAAATGTAAATTGTTTTCAGTGGTTGATGATTACCCGCAAGAGCTGTTGCCACATGCCACACACACACATACAGACATGTGGGGCTTTTAATAGTAAATGGAGATCTGAAGATGGAGATGGGCCTACCATCCAAGGGCCAGGCATTGCATAAGGCCAGCCATTGCCGCTATCCTAATTGGCTGAAGGTGAAAGCCAAGGAGCCATACCCAGAGGTAGAGGTAGAGGTAGAGGTAGAGGTAGAGCCAATCCTTGGCGCATTGTTAATGTTCTGCAATTAAAATGAGGCAGAGTAAAAGTTTGTGCCCCCAGCTTTCTCCCAGACGAAGGAGCCCCGTTGGTGCAGCTGCCACACAGAGGGGACGCTTCCTTGCACACGACAACAGCAACAGCAACAGCAGCGGCAGCGGCAGCGGCAACACCAACAGCAGAGGCAACCGCTTTGGTATTTATGGAGTCGACTGGCTGCTGGCATCACGATTATGGCCATGGCTTGGCTCTGGCTATGGCTATGGCGCATCCTCCTCCTGTCTTCAGTCTTCTGTGTGCTTTCTGTTGTCTGCTGTCTGCTGTTTGGTGGCATAACCCACGTTTGACATTGCCTGCAAATTTGGCGATAAGCAACACACACACACGAAAGAGGAGGTTTCACCAGAAAAATGCCTTCCTGGGGACACACGAGGCAGCGCCAGAGCCAGAGCCAGAGCCAGATGGATTTGGGTATGGAATGGGGCACTTAGATTATCGACAATTTGTCACGTTGTCAGTCGTGCGTTTGCCTGATTGCAGCCAGGCAGCATCATCGGCGGAAGTAAAAGCATTGAAAGAGGCACACAGGTGCACCACAGCCAATGACTGAGCCTCTGAGGATCTCCAGTGCGATAGATGCGCATTCACGTGTCCGTCTGCTGTCTGCTGTCTGGTGTCTGGACAGAAAATTCAACAGAAATTTCTCTTTTATTTATTGTAATTTCATTTGGCAGCCAGCCAAGCCGAACCGAACCGAACCCCCTGCAAATATGGAAATTATTTGTGTTTGAAATCATCTCAAGGGAAAATACGTACAAGAAATACGTGCAAATATTCGCCTTTGCTCTGCTTCAGACACGTGAGCAATTAAAACGTGATTAATGACACTCACTACCATCCCCCCCCTTCACCCACTAATAATGGAGACGACACCCAGACTCAGAGGCACTCCAGCAGCAATCGTTAAAGCAGATCAACAAAAGACTTGGGCAGCAAACGCGATGATGATGGAATGCTATTCGACATTCGACGGTCGACATGGGGGACAAGAGGGGGCCCCCTCTGCCCCTTGGCATCTCTGAACCCCGACTGAGGCCTGGCTTTTGCTCCCATTTCGCATTTCGGCCTGAGAGGAGTCTCACCTTGCAACGTTTTCATATTGATTGTTTGCTACAGAATCGATGCACAGCTCCGGCCCAGCCTCAATCCTTTCATACACTCGAAAAGAAAGCTGCGATCTGCAACGATCTTATTCGGCATTCGGTATACTAGAAGCCCAATCGTAACAGGTAAATACCTGTAATTCAATGACATTGCAGGCCCACTTATCCCACATCCGTCTGCAATTTATCAGCGTGAGATTGATGGCAATTATCGGAGCAAGTCCGAACAGAGGAGCCTGCATGCTGCATGCTGCATGCTGCCTTTAGATTGACTCCGCCTTCAATCCCCCCCATCGAGGCACTGCTGAAAGACCTGAGCAGCTACTTAAAGGTATCCGTTTATCGATCAGGCAGGCGGAATGCCGTCCCGCCACTCCGTTTCGGTTGCTGGTGCTGTCGTTTCAACACTTAATAACAATAGAAAGAGAGCCGCAGTGGGGCAGCAACAGATATAATAATTATAATGATAATCCGTTTCTGTGGCCGCAACAAATTATTTGGCAGTTACAATTAAGTTTCAACAAACAACTGCAGCTACAACAGAGCTACAGCTACAGTCATAGCATTTTCTGCCCCCAAACGAAAGTCCGACTCTTTGACGGCCTTTCACCTGCGCGCGGCATCGTCCAACTGCTCCACCCCTCAACTTGACCCCTCCCTGCCCCGCTCCAATTAGTTCTAATGAGTTGTTGCTGCTCGCTGCTTGCTGCTTGCTTCTTGCTGTGGCATCTACATACACTTCCTGTCACGCCTCTGAGGCACTTTGTTGACACTTTCCGTACGGTTTCCGTTTGGCAATTGCTCAGCTCTCAGCTCTCGTCTTTCGTCTTTCGGCTTTCGGGTTGAAATTTAATTGAAAAAGTGCTGAGGCAGGCACCAGAAAAAAACCCAAGCTGCTTTGACCATTGGCTGCTGATTATTACTTTTATTTCCATGCACAATTTTTATGCTCAACATTTCCCCAGAAGAGCCCGCAAGAAGTGTCTCGCTAGGGAAAACCAAACAACAGAAAAAGAAAGGCGGTTTCGGACTCGTGGCCGCAGCTCTAAATACTTTTTTTGGTGCAAGATATTTAAAGATTGTTTTCCCGAATTAGAGATAGTATCGTTCAAGCGTGAATGTCAGTCCAAAGCAGCTGATTTTCTTTATTCAAGCAGTTCAATATATGTAACACTACACATTTAAAGACATCTACTAGTTGTAATCCACGTCATTCAAAGAAGATTGGTGTTCCAACCTGCTCCTAGTGCTCCTTTGGTCCGAGAAGCGAACTCCCAAATACATTGATGCTCGACTCTAAACTGGGACCAGAAACAAAATACATGTCGTTTGCGTGACTCGAGTAAGGGCATACAGTGCATACATTCTCTTTAGAAGTGCACAAGAGTAAATCTGCAAACCTACACTCAAATCGGCAATACCCTGGATTGAATCGAGGGTATCTCCAACATTGCTTCTTGTTTGATTTCATGTTTTGCGTCTCATCTGCCTAAGCAGCAGAAATGTAGCAATTATTTGAGGAGTGTTGCTTCTGTCATGTCTGCTGCTGGACATGGACTTTCTCTGTGTAAGTTTTTTGATAATTCGAGATGTTGTCTCGGTCTCGGTCTCGGTCCAGCATCGCAGTTCCAGTTTTCAGTTCATGTGAGTGTTTTCTTTTGCTGGAAGCTCACGTAGCATTACAATGTTGTTCGTTCTCTCTCTGCCACGCCCTCTGCGGGCATTACGAGCACTGCGTGACAAGAGCGTTAAGTGTTTTCCCATTGCCCCATTCAGATCCGACATTCGTTGGACTCGCATTAGCAACGATTCTCTTTAAATTGATAATCACGCCCCTCCACTGTACTGTACGTTCTGTGCTGGTCTTGTACGGGCTTTGTTTCATTTTCATTTCTTTTGATTGCAAAGAGTTTCACCTAAGAAGAACTGGGTCTCTGGCTGTCGATCGTGTCCGCTGTCTCTCCGGCTGACAGCGGGGAAAGCTGAGGAGTTCCGAACACACCTGGGATCTCCTGGGATTTTGAATGGTATATGGTATAAATTGATGAAATTGTGTCAGTGGAATACAATTTCCTTCTTTGAAAACTCTTACGCCACTGCATTCGATTGCCGATCGAACGATTGAATTGAATAACATACTCCATTCGCAGCCAACAATTATGTTCGATCACTTATCAATCAATTGAACTGTTGCCACTGATTAACTGAAGCAATTAGCCAACTCGAACTAAGTTCCAATCTGCCAGTCGCTAGAGACAGCCACAGGAACTACCTTTTGAACCGCCTCATGTCACATCTATTAAAAGAGCCATTATCCATTACAGTTGCATCACTACTCGTATTTTACTAAACATTTGCTCTGTTACAAGCGCGTCATGCATCAAGTATTGTGGCACATTGGGCGTAGATGGAGGGCTTCGAAGAGCATCTTGCGTGGGATCTTGATCTGACTTGAAGCTGTTGCAAGTCTGTGTTGTCGTTCTCTTGAGTTCTCTGAGAGTTCTCTTCCCCAACGTATGGGAGGACTGTCAACAGACTGAAGCTCTCGCCGCTCACGATCAGGTGGCTAGGGGAATAAGCTTTTGAAGAGAGGCGATCCTGCTCCGATTGGATCGACTGAAACCAGCTAAATACATGAAATCCTATATTAATCAATTATTTTCTGCACCACGAGTGTCTTTTCATTCCGAATCGGAGGTTTCATCATTAGACCTGTGTGTGCCGGCAATTATAAACGTTTTGATTCGAGTAATTGGGCGCCCGAGAGCGGAGTTACGTCAGTGAGCGAGCGAGGGTAACTGTGGCATGTGGCAACATCGGGCCAAACACCTTTCCCCCCCCCCTTCATATCGTTAGTGGGTTGAACTTTAGCTCTTGAATGGCCCATGGATCAGTCAGTACATAAGTGATTTATACGGCCAACAAAAATAAACTTCGAGCAGATCGGAGAGGGATTTTCTGGACTGGCAAGGGGAGGAGCGGGGGAGCCACCACTGGAAGTGCAATTTCAATAATAAATTTCTATAATTTTCTCGTTTCGTTTCCTTTCGTTTGGCTCGTTGCCGGCGTCGCTGCAAGTGAAGCGTAGAATTACGTGAAAAAGTGAAATTATGCGACGACACGACACGACACGACGCTGGTGAATGTGATCTCGGAGCTGTGGAAGTGGCAGCCAGAGCCCCAGCGCTGGAATGGAGTGGCAGTGGCGCGTGAAAGCAGTCGAAACCACCACACCGGCAGCCGCACCACCACCACCACTACTGCCACTGCCACTGCCAATGCCACCAGCGCCAGCACCACCACCAGCACCATCATCATCATCGTTGTCGATGCGTGTGACCCAATTTTCGGGGGGAATTTCGATTGCAAGTTCAAGTTTTGCTCACTTTGCATTCGGCTCTCCTCCATTCTGCGGCTCTGCCCTCTCCCCTCTATTCTCCTTCTCTGCTTCACTTCTGGCATCACTTGTCAGGCGTTGCACGTCGCCAATCGAGGAGGGGGAAAGAGGTGGAAGAAGGAGAGGAGAGCCACAGCCATAGCCACAGCCACAGCCACTCCCCTTTCCAATCACTTTCTTTAGCTTTCGCATGGAACACGCCAAAACGTTTCAATCGGAAATGGAAGTGTTTTCCAAGCGCGTAACCGATTGGTAACCCGTTATCGATTGATGTTCCGATAAATGCAGATCGGATATTTATTGAAAATAATATGAATCGATCAAAAATCTATACAAAACCCATACATATTGCAATGATACGATGCTCTTTAAGTGATCTGCTATGGGGAAAATATCCCAAAAGTACGGTTCTCAAGATCACAGAAGAGTAATGCTTTGACACCAGGAAAATGGAATAGAACCAATACAAGCCGGTCTTTAATGTCACCACGATCCACGCCAGAACTGTTTTTCCTTCATCTTGGAAGCGCTTTCCATGGACTCCACCGAGAAGAGTGTTATATCAGGGATACTGATATCCATTCACATTCCGTTCAACAAAAGTAATTGAAATGTTGTAGAGTCGATTGATCACTGAGTTTTGAGAGATGACACGATCCTTCTCCAAAGCGTACTACTCGCTTATGGGCCACCAGGTGTTGGGGGAGCTCAAGGCGTGAGAATGCGATGCGTGGGCTTGCTAAGACCTTGCTCGTGGAGCGCCGAGGGACCTTTGATCATAGCGTTTTCGAGGACTAATTAGAGAAGCTTCACCACAGTAGAAGATTGCAGAAGATCTCGCAAGAAGTACCCTAACCACACACAACACTCAGGTTTTGGACACCATTAGTCCAGATCAGGTCTTATGTTCAGCAAATGAAGCGATTCCTCTCTGAAATCGCCCCTGTGCTACTCGTAAATGAAATGGTCTGATGGCTTAGCCGCTTCTACAAAAACCTGTCCGCCCTTTGAATCGTTCGGACGAACCTAAAGCCTCCCGGGTCTTTGTTCTCTTCCCTGCAGCAGCCTGCCCTGAACCAGAACTGTCGACAGTGATGACGATGACAGCAACTTCGGCCTCGATATCGACATCGGCCTCGGCATCGACGGACTGCAGCAGCAGCATGCAGGGCTCCACAACTAGTTCGGCGTCCAGCGATGTGATGACCCTGACCACGACGGCCGCCTCCTCGTGGTGCGCCATCCCGACGAGCTCCAGGCTGCGGGTGCTGCGGCTGGTGCGTCCGCATCAGCGCCGCCTCCTGGCTGGTGGCCCGGAGCGTGCCAGCACGTACGGCTTTGCGGTGCGTGGCGGCCGGGAGCACGGCACCGGGTTCTTTGTCTCCCATGTGGAGCACGGCGGCGAGGCGCAGCTAAAGGGATTGCGGGTAAGTGAGGGGTGACTTTTCCGGCAGCTCTTCTGTGTTTCACGGTTCTCTTTCGCGGTTCCCCCTGCAGATTGGTGACCAGATCTTGCGGATCAATGGCTTTCGTTTAGACGATGCCGTGCACAAGGAGTTCATCCAGCTGGTGGGCAGCCAGGATCGGGTCACGCTCAAAGTGCGGGGCGTCGGAATGCTGCCAGTCAGGGAGTAAGTCAAAAATGATCCCAGATCTCTAAGGATTAATCCCTAACCGATCTAACCCAACCCCGAATAGCCAGCCCGAGGAGCGTCTGTCGTGGAGCGTGGTGAAGCTGCCCAGCGTCAGTGGTACGCCCTCGGAGAGCTCCTTCAAGACGGACCGAAGGAGCGCCAGCCGCGACATAAGCGTGGTGCTGCATGTGGCACCGCGCACCAAACTGGGCCTGGGCATCTGCAAGGGGCCGGAGTGGAAGCCGGGCATCTTTGTGCAGTTCACCAAGGAGCGGAGTGTGGCGCGAGAGGCCGGCCTGAGGCCCGGCGACCAGATCCTCAGCGTGAACAGCATCGACTTCTCCGACGTGCTCTTCAGCGAGGCGGTGGCCGTGATGAAGAGCTCCAGCAAGCTGGATATGGTGGTGCGCACCGCCGCCGGCTGTGACCTCTTTCCGGGCGAATCGAGCGGATACAACAGCTCCGCCAGCTCGGTGACCGGGGATCAGAGTCCCTGCTGGGCCGATGCTAAGTCCAAGCGGCTAACGGCTGTGCGTGAGGAGGCGGTTCCTGGCGGTGGTTCAGGTTCCTGGTCGCTGGCTCAAATCCAGGGCAAGCAGCTGAACAAGACAATCATCAAGCTGTCCGAGAATGGCACCTCCATCAACAATACGTTCATAGCCAGCCACTCTAGTTCCAGTTCCAGTTCGGCAACGGACAAGGTACAGTCCCGCACAGTACCAACACACAGCAGCAGCACCACCATGAAACGTAGTAGTCACCTGAGGACACCAACAGCAGCTGGAGCTGGAGCTGGAAGTGCAGCTGCAGCTGGAGGAGGATGTGCACCTATTCCACCCCCGCCGAAAGCAGGAATGAGCGAAGGTGGCGGACCAGGCGCCAGCGAAGGGGGTGCTGGGGGTAGCAGCCTCTCCAGTGCCATAACCGAGGAGCTCAAGAAGCGCAAAGAGGTGAGACTTGTGCCCATCAGGTAGGCGATTGCCAGGCCACTAATTCCAGAAACTATTCCAGAAGCAGCAGCAGCAACGCAACAATCGAGAAGTAAATGGAAATGCAGATCGCCATCAGATCGCTCACAATGACAGCAGCCACCGCAACAGCAGCAGCAACAGCAACAGCAACAGCTGTATTGGCAGCCATGCGGTTGCCCAAGTGTCGCACAGACAGCGGGGCAATGCAGGAGGAGGAGCAGCAGCAGCAGCAGGTGGAACAGCGAATGGAGGCGATCAGCACACAGCTCTGATGGATGAATTCAAGCGAGCGCACCAGCGTATGTTCAGGAACGGGTTCCATGAGAGCGAGCACAAGGTGAGCCAGCCAGCAGCTCCCAGCAGCCAGCAGCATCATCATCATCGTTATCATCATCATCACCAGCTACTTGTAAAGGTCAAGCGAGCCTCTTGGGCTGCACTGCACTTGTTGTTGGCCAGTTGAGCCCCCCACCCCCCTGGCCCCCACAGCCATTGTATGTAGTATTGTTGTAGATGTTACCTAATCAAACTGTTGGCCAATTGCTGTTTGGTGGAGAGCGGAGACGCGAGACTCAGCATGCCTCGAAGGGCTATCAACGCTTCGATTGTGGAGTGGCGTTCCCCATTCCATCGTGGCCAAGTGGAGCGCAGATAGCACTAAAACCACAGGGGGGGGAGCTGAACGTCTCTGTGGGGATCTCTGTCGGACTGATTGTTCGATCAAGTGCCGATTATGCCGATTAATTATGCTTTCAAGTAGTGTAGTGCAGGGAGCAGCTTTCGCAGTAGTCGATCGATGAGTGGTCGATCGACTCATAGAAATTGAGCAATAGATACTCCCCCGATGACAGTTGAATTGTTACCGATGTTAGCGACACTCTTTAACGCCCAAAACAAAAAATCAATCTCAACGGTCACCGTGGCACACGGGCATGACTCACGCCACGCGGGGAGGGGCACGGGCAAAATGTTGACAGAAGGAACCAAAACAAAAGGCAGGCAAACAAATGGCCCAAAAGCAAATAGAGGCGGGTACCGAGAGAGAGTGTGCAGAGCAGAGTTAGGGGACGGGGCGGGGCAGTGGCGCGGGGCAATGATTGTGATTCTGATTGTGAGTACTCCTCCTCAATGGTTTTATCTAATCGGGGGGCGCCGACGCGATGAGCGAACTGCGTCGCCAAAGAGCGCCCAGAGTCAGAGCCAGGTCGGGAGGCATCGGACAGCGGGCGCCCAGTCTTGCTGCCAGCTAGCAGCCGAACAGATTGATTGTGGCCCAAAGAGAAATGAGTAGTCTGCTACGTGTGAAGAACGGAGCGGGGCAAGCGGAGGGCAGCAATATGCCAACCATGCGACCCGTGACCATCGGTCGACCTCTGGTAACCATGTCCACCTATCAGGTACCTTTTGTGCTCCTGCTGATGATGATGATGATCCCAGCCTGTGGCTGGGGGAGAGAGTTCCGCTCACCCACCATCTAATGGAATTTGCTAATGCTTTTACTCTCGCTCTTTGCAGGAGCGCGGGGAGACACTGAAGCGCACCTCGATAATGCCAGACGATAGCTGCTATCGGAACATTACCACCAGCAACAGCAACAGCAACAGCAATGGCAATGGCAACATCAACAGCCGCACACCGCCACAGAATTCCAGTCAGAGTAGTGCCAGTGCTACGAACACGAATGGTGGAGCGGCCAGCAATGGAACGCCGGAACTTCCACCACCGGTAAGCCATATTGACCCAGGTCTCCAGCCTGTGCTGGCTTCCATTCCCCATCCGTTGCTAATAACCCACTCTCTGTCCCTTGCAGCCGCCGCAATTTGCCAATCCACAGCCTAGACCACAAATGCTGAGGCTAAGCAATGAAAATGGAAGCGGTGTTGGAAACGGAGCTGCAAACGGAAATGGCTTGGTATCCAAAATAAAACAGCCCATGTCACCGATGCGCAGTGCTAGCATCAGTGTGGGCGGCTTTCGACCGCCGGCCACACCACAGCCCGACTACGATGCCGTCCAGCTGCGCAGCAATCATGGAACCATATCATCCCCAACAGAAACATCCCCAGCAACAGCAGCAGCATCAATGCAGCAGCAGCAGCGACGAACCCTGCGTCTGGGCACAGTGACCATCGGGGAGTACGGCGAGCAGCGAACCAAGCGGGAGACACTGAGGAAGGTGAACGGCGGCAACGCGACCACGCTCAGCTCCAATGGGATACTGAAGAACGGTTCGAATCGGAGCAGCGCCAGCTTCAGTCAGCACGGGGAGAAGACCATCAAGTTTGGCAACTGATTCGCCGTACGCAGATCCGCGGCATCGCAGCGTAATTCCATCAATAATTTGTGCAATATGCTCGACGTGGGTTGGGCGGAGAAGAATTCGAGGAGAGTACAAAATTGGACATGCAGAGCATTCCCATATGCACTTATACCCATATTACATGTCTTTTTTTTATAATAATAATAGGAGTTTTTTTTTGCGATTTGTTGAGCTTTCGAAACGGAAAAGATGTACGATTAGTTTTTATTATTTAATGTACTCTGTAAATAAATATTCCACATACGCGTGTGTGCAAAACGAAGGCTTCCAATAAAACTGAACGCATACATTGATATAATAGATAATAGATATACTATAAAAGTATTCGTTTAACACCATTTGCTCAGATGTATATATATAGACAATGGCAGCACACATCCCACAACTGATAAGGGCACTGAAAAATGCCTCAACGCTTGCGTCAGACACCCGCAAATCCCAATTACATTTCGAGCCATAAAGATATCGGTCCGTGTACTGTCTACTGTACTGTCAATTGGTATCCCGACAATTGGTTGCTTGATATATCGATTTATGAGACATAAATCTTGGCCTCTGCAGTGGGAAACCCTAATTAGACAGGCCAGCACTGACACACCAAAATGTCTGGTAACTCTTGGCGTGGGAAAAGGGTCAAGGCATACTCTTTCGACTATACAATATCTACATGGGTTTCTATGGGAAAATCATACGAAATGCCTTCATGTACCTTCAATTGCAGTTTTCAGTGCCGCAAGAACATCTTGGACTATTGGTAATGGATCCAAGTACAAGGTTCACTAAGTTCCCTTTACAGAAAATAATCGTATTTGCACCCATTGTTTCTATGGTCACTATATGATATAGTGATCTCATTTTTGGCAACATGCCCAAGGGAAAAATTAAGTTCTTTGAAAGCCAAACGGAAGCGGTTGGCTAAAACCCCACACCGATACTTCGTTCTTCTAGTGCCCAGTAGGCTATCTCTCGATGTTAACAAAACTCTGTTCATCGCTTACAAGGCAGAGCTGGAAATCCCTCAGTCAAAACAGAAAACAGCAACGTGCTAGTCGTATTTCGGAAACAATAAAAACTTCAGGAAAATAAGGAAAACAACAAATGTCGTCTGTGTTCGATTTGTGTTGGAGCGAGCTGCTCCGTGAGGCAGTTACCTCGATGTGCAACATCGCCATCATAGCCATTATTTTCGGGATGGTTTATTTGTTCTTTATGCAGACGCGATTCAAACTGGACACCGCCACCTTTGACGAGAAGGACTACAGCATACAGTTGGAGCCGATAAGTGGACTCCTTCTGACTAAAGAGCAGCTTGCAGAATATAATTGCAACAATGGGACTCGCAGATATCTGGTTGCATTGCGGAACGTTATCTACGATGTGTCGAATTTGTTTGAAGACTTTGGTCCGAAGGGAAAGTACGCCAAGTGGTCGGGCCAAGAGCTGACAGAATTGATCAAGGCTGAAGCGATACTCAAAAAGAGGAATTGTGAGAAGTATATTCAGAAATGGAACCAAATTCTGAATAATAGCTTCTTTATAGCCGGTGAGCTCATCGTCAACGCAGATCCCGAACAGGAAGCCGAAGAGGATGCCATTTTCGATCCCTTCGAGGGGTGCTGGGACCATTATTCCCAACTATCAATTTGAACGCTCTCTCTTTCTCTCTCAATCAATCTCAATCTCTCTCTTACAATGGCTCAAGCAGTATTACAAGACAATTACCACTTGGACGATATCATCTGGATAGAGATATACATATATATATATATGCATGTATGTATGTACACCAACAGTACTCTCAGCTGAGGGATCCGCTTCTGATTGGTACATAATTATGACACCGCAACTGCAACATTGTTCCATAAACGACAATGCCTCAAAATGTTTTCGCTTTTAATTGATGAAATGAAAGGTGGGCGTTGGCGGGTGGACTGTGGCGGCATGTAATGGATTGTGACTGCAGTTAGTTGCACAAACCCGGTCGGCCGATTGACCAACTAACTGAGTAAACGAACACCGATCGGTTTCCTTCCTCATTGTTGCGCCAGAGAGGGGCACGCGATGCCAGCAGCTGTGTACTGTGGACGGCAACAAGTTGCCGGATTGGCTTTGGTTTCAGCTGAAGCTGCTGCTGCTGCTGTTGCTATCGGATTACTGTTGTTGGCAATACCCTCTTAAATTGGCTTTCGATGTTTGCAGAGCAGAGAAGTCGATCTACTCCAGATCAGCAGATCAATAGCCGAGTAGGTATACCCTCTACGAGGGTATCAAAAGCTTCGAATCCCTCTTGTCGCTGCTATCTGAGACTGCTTTGGTCGTTAATATTACGGCCGATACTCTACGGAGAGGTGCTTATGACTCGATGGGTCAACTGGAGTTCGTTTTAAATTGGTTTTGGGTTACGTGAGATTGGGATAGGTTAGTTAAACGATCAGTCAAGACCAGTTCGAATAGGGAAAAGCAGGAATAGGAAAACTCAAGCTCGGAATGAGTTTGAGTCTTTGGCTAACATAGGACAGATTATATAGGTAAGGATGGGCTACAATGTGCTAGGATAAGAAAAGTGTGCAAATATCGGGAAGGATGGTAAATATTTTGACTATTTTGTCTGTCTGTCTGTCTTGATAGGATGGGACTGTGTTCGTCTTAAATTCGGATTCCTTGACTGTTTGAGGCTTCTTTGGTACCAGAGGTTTCCTGCGGGGAAACAGTGGAGTAAGTGGCATGATTGCATGACATAAGACCTGATCAGGCGTTGCAGATCGTTCACAATATGGAATTCAAGGGAAACCCGATCACTCAGGCAATAAAAGATGAGTCTATACATTGACAGCTGTAATGGGCTCCCTGCGACCGTTCTTATTCGACAAACATCTCCTTGCGCAAATGGCTTGTACTAAATGTTACTTAGATTGGATTGTATTGTATTGCATTACTGTAGCGGCTACCGCTGTCGTTTACACAAGCACTGAAATTATCACCCGGCACACACGCTCGCTCAGAGTCCAAGCCCCGACTCGTAGACGGGTTAAACCAATAAAATCGTTGCGCAGACGCGGCGATTCAGTTGAAATTTGGACTTGGCCGCGCACAGACAGCGACTGGCCAAAAGCGGACACAGCCCGAAAGTTAGCGACATTTTCACATCACTTCAGTTTACTTCAGAGCTTCGGTTTCGTAAGAGTCCACACAGGTTTCGCAATGATGACGACAACGACGGTGATGAGGCTTCCGCTGCAACTGCTGATGATGCTGCTGCTGCTCCTCCACTGCACTCGCGGCACACCTATAGCGCCCACAACCCAAGACGGAGCCACGCCCATCGATGCCAGAGTGTCGGCGGAAGAGTTTGGGGCCCTCGACGCATTTGCCGAGGCGGAGTCCACACATTCAGCGGTCAGTGAGGCGACGACCGGTTTCAAAGTGAGTATCGGGAGTATTCAAAACTCCTGTTGAGGTGGAGTTATAACTACTTACCGGATCCTTGCAGATCCCGCTACTGTCCAAGCCGGCCCAGACAGCGGAGTCGGTGAACCTCGAGCAGGAGGCCATACAATCCAAGGTGCTCAGCGCCTACGAGAACACCCACAAGAGGGTGGCTGAGCTGTCCCAGGTGGGTAATGCTTCTCTTTAGTACTGGAGGCGATTGTACGTGTTTTTGTTTGTAGCCCGTTCCCATCTTGGATACCATCAGCGAGCACGAGAAGTACGGCAACAGTGGTGACATGTTCGATGGCATCTCACGGACCATTGTCAATGGTTACGAGGCCTTTTCCAATCTGCTCAACACCTTGATACAGGTGAGTGCTGTGCCGAAATTCACAGTTTGTTTGATTGTTTGTTCGCCCGTTGGTTCGCACATTACATTGCACAATATGACGACAGCGTATGCAGCGACTGCTTTGGCCCCTGATTTGTCCTATGCTTTGGACACTGCTTTGGTCTAAGCTTTTGTCACTGCTTTAGTCAGACCTCTGTCTACTGCTTTGTCCTTAGGATTTGGTCTCTTATTAGACACTGCTTTGACAGTTGCTTTGTTTTGTCTGACAGTTATGCAAGCAGTCGTGCGTTGCCGGCAAATGCGATGTGTTCAAGGTCAGCTCCACGCTCACACTCATTCCCTAACTCTTTTCTCTCTCTCTCTCTCTCTTTGTACAGAAACCCAAAGAGCTGGCTCGCAGCGTCTCCAAGGGCATCACCGATCAGCTAGACATCATCGGAGGCAAACTGGTGGGGCTCTGAAGAGAAAGGGAGTTACATAACTCGTCATAGCAATGACCCTTGCAGAGGGGAGGGTGTTACAGATGTTTCCCAGATGTCGGACTTTCATAAATTGCACGTATTTCTAATCGGAACACACAACCGATTCGATATTGTCCGTCAGTCCGTCCAGATGCAGCTTTTCGGAACTGCCGTATATCGGATGGCCATATCATACATGAATTATCGGTCTAATATAAATCTACATAATGAGAAGGGTAAAGTTTTCATCACAAGATATATCTGCAAGGGTCTCTAGCCTTTCTTTCTTGTTAATTGTTTTTTGTTTTGTATATAATTTAAATAAATACTTTAATTTATTTGTAACTTATCGCGATAATATTGTATAATTGATTCTGTTTAGGAATGTACTGTTCGATATATAAATAAAATAATCATAATCATAATATGGTTATTATTTAACTAATTTTTCTGCTGCTTCTCTCCTCTCTTCTCCTTCTCCATCTTCCTCATGATCCTCCTACTCCACTTCTTCCTTTTGTTTTGCTTTTTGGGCAGTTTTTGTTGTTGTTTTTTTTTGCTCTTTGAATAGGCACTACTAATGTCCATTAAAATAGCGTAATCATAGATGTTACATATAGTAGATATATTGTTGTGTATAGTAGATATGTATGTGTATTGCTTTAGCCATCAGAGAGGCGGCCTACGAGTACGAGAGTGCTGCTTATGGAACACACTGTGTTTCTGGGTCCTGTGCTCGGATCATGGGCCTTACACTACTAGAGAGCACATCACAATATGGATACACCACTAACTAAACCGGTTTCGATATGTGTGAGTGTTTCTGTCGAGGATCTACGCCACGTACTTCTGACGAAACCTAATGAACTTCGAATACGGTTTTCTCCTATAAATAACAAAGAACAAAAGAACACTACACATTTCTCATAAAATTAATTTTTGGCACAATTCGCAGAATGATTTAAAAACTAAAGAGATTCAACAAACAAAAAAAAACACAAAAAAATGCGGGATAGCTAGAGAAATGCCTGGGGAGAGACATTCATCCAAGTGGTGTTTGCATGTTGTCCCTCAGCTACAGACGGGTTCAATCCTCCCAACTGCTGGTGCGGGTCTGGGGGTCGATCGAGGGCGAGTATGATTTGTACGTGTCGGAGGCCCGCTTATGCTTGACGGTGCAGAAGAGCAACATCGAGGTGATCAGTCCGAAGAGCTGGACGAAGGCGATGCCCAGTCCAATGGCACCCACCACATTCAGTTGGCCGGTGAACCAGCTCTGGAGCGAGTGGGCGCAGCCCTTGTCCCACCAAAGCGACGGGTTCTCAGATCTGGGAATGAAAAGTGGAAGAGGAATCAATCGGAGGACACGGCTTCAAGCTCCATATGCGGGTTGCTCACCTGCCGCAGTCGACGCGCAGGAGGCCATCGCCGGATCCTTCCGTCAGCAGTTGGCGTTGGTCGTACAGAGTGCGACAGCAGGACTCCGGCACCCAGCGCTTGCCCGTCCACGATTGTATGTCGTACCAGTCCTCGTAGGAGGATACACCGCAGCACTCAAACTGAAGCCGAGCGGAGAGGAAATTAATTGGGGAGTAGCATGGAGGAGACTAGACTGGCACTCACCGACTGCTGCACACTGTCCCAGATGGCGGCCACCGAGGGGGCCACCAGGGAGCCGCGGTCACTGCTGTTGTAGTGGCGCTCGATCCCGAAGCGCAGCTCGTTGGCCAGCGTCCGCCCCAGTCCGCCGCGGAAGAGGAACGCAATGGAGCCCACCAGGAACTCGCTCATGAACAGCATCACGATCAGCATGAAGTACTTTTTTAGAATGAGAACGAGAACGAGAGAATGTGGCAACAATAGCTCCATCGTTCTATCCACCTATCCATCATCCTGCTACTTACCAGCACCAGAAGGCAGCGCGACTGTACCCAGGCGCCGCAGCAGCCAAGGAAGCTCACCACGAACCCAGTGCCCCCAATGGACATGAAGATCGTATCCGCACTGAGAGCGGCATGTTGCGGCAGCAGTGTCGCGTATCCCTCGTAGCTGAGGCGAAGCCAGAGGCCGGCGCCCAGGAAAGCGCAGCTGCAGAGCTGTCAAAAGACGAGAGAACGAGTGTCAGTCAGAGAAAGAGAGAGTGACAGGCGCTCGGGAAATCGATTGGAAAACTCTTGTACAATCGATTAACTCTTACGCCGCCGCTATCATTAATATCTGCGACATTCAGGACAAAGCTTCTTATCTGACATCGATTGACAGTTCAAAGAGCATATGGAAGGGAGACTGAGATGGAGACGGAGACGGAGACTGAAGCTCTGTCAAAGCCAGAGAAGACAATGACAAACATACAATGCGACGGACAGAGACGACACCGCTCGCTTCCGCTGCAGACGCGCGACGTCGGCAAAGTTCTGCCTTTGATTTGTTGCCTGCTGCTCTGTCTGGTCTGTCTGCTGTCTGGAACTGTTGCTGCATATCCGCCACCGCCACCTCCACAGCCATCCCCCCGGCGGCCGATGTCTTTGTTATCGATTCGTGCGAGAGCATAGAAAAATCAGCAACAAGTAAGAATGAGCAAAGGGGCTGTATGGACAGTAAGATACCCCCTATCTTGTTAGGAATAACCATGAAAAAAGCTACCAGTACTTTCATTAAGAATTATGTATCTGTTTTTGCCTGAAGAGATTGAATATATCTCAGCCTGAGATGTTCCAAAAAAAGAACTCAATCTGTGTCGCATCTACAGTAGTATACAGATCAGATTCGGGACCTTTAGCTAGGGATAGTTACATATGCTCGTATGTATTCAGACTATCCTTTTCAATTCCTAGGATATCTTCGGCCTGATACAGGCTTCTAGATCCTTTTGAATTCATTTAGCCTTTCGGATACATGCACTTTCACAGGAATTCAAAATACCCTTTGGGACTTGGGATGGGTGACTTACCCAGAGAATGATGTTCAGCCAGCAAAAGGTGCGGCGTATGCACGTGTAGCCGGCGTTACCCATCGCGGGAGCTGCAAAGAAATGACAGAGATGCAGTGAGCTCTAGTTTTGAGGCGGCCGGGTTTCCCCCTTTCTCCCGCACTCATAGACACAGACACAAACACTCCCACTCCCACACTCACACGGTGGGGGGCATAAATCATGGGCAACGCGATTGCGATTGCCGCGTTGCATTCATTAGAAATGTTCTTTTCCATCTATTAAATAAGCGATTTTGTCTTGTTGTTGTTGTTTTTTCGGCGACCCCATTGAGTGAGCGTCGTGTGTGTGTGTATGTTTGTGTATAAATAAAACTGAAATTCATAAATTTAAACAAAAAGAATTTATTGTAGGCTTTTTTGTGGCTATTTTTTTTTTTTTTTTTTTATGGCTTCCATTGGCATTTCCTTTTGTCTATGGCCATTTAATGAGAGTAGCACGGAATTCGTGTGTGTGTGCGTGTGTGTCTGTCAGCGGGGGTTACAGAGCAGCTGTTGCACATTCCCATTCCCCACTACGGACACATGCACATCCACATCTACTCAGCCATGGATTCGTTTATGCAAATATATGTACATATTATATGATCGAATGAAAACAATGAATGAAAATTGAACAGCAACCAGATCTGCAGCCATTATCCAGGGAAACCAGAGAAACCAAACAAATCGATGCGCAGGCAGAAGTGCAGGGAAAGCGGAAAGCTTTTGCAAACGGACAGTCCCTTCTCTTGAGTGGGAACTCTTTATTCATTTGAGTAAATAAACAGAAAGTTTCCACTGGATTTGGAATAATAAGGACTCAGAAGAGGTCACAAAAAAATCACTAACAAGAACAAAACGATCTCTAAAGCTATCATCCTAAGTAAACATCATTTTGATGAATATGCAAAACCAGAACTTAATCCACTTCAGAGAATTATTTGATGTCAACAAGCCAAAGAAATGTTTGTATACAAATACAATCGAGGGCCATTGAAATATGTAAACTTTTTAAAAGATACGAGTATGCACAAGTGAAGAGAACCAAACTACAGAACTTCCGAAATTTCCATTCTACACGACTTTCATGGGAAAGAAAAAAACAAATTCAATTGGTTTTATGCAAATTATTACATGTTGTGTGGCAATCAAGCTTCGGATCTGGGAAAATTCATGTTCAATCCTCGCGCCACAACAGAGCGGAGATTAGATGGTTGCATGTGAGTCAGCAGTTAGACGGAGAGGAGGAGGAGGAGGAAGAAGATGAAGAGTGCTTACAATGTATATTCCATGGATATTACAATATTTTCAAAAGGCACTGCACTGCTTGCTATGCAGCGGGAAAGTGGTTGGAAGCTTGTTGGATGATTTGACTGCTTCACCAGCCCAGCCGAAAAGAAAGCAGTTCTGATCTCGCCAAAGCTTTCCTGCCAGCACTGCTCGCCATTACGGATTAACCAGCAAGGGATTCGTTCATCTAATGATTCAAAGTCCTCACCACACCATCGTTAATGGATCTGAACTTGAAATCTTGGTACGGCACGCGACGCATGCGTGCAGTTTGCTTTTCGGGCCTCACTTCCAGAGTCCTCCTACGATCCCAACCCATTCTCGGGGAACTACTGTGGAATGCCAACTAGAGGGAAAAGAGCTACTCTGTAATTGGAATAACTATCATCATCATCATCATCATCAGCGTCGACCACATCCAACAAAATAATGAAATAGTAGTGCAAATAAGCGGGAATGGGCAAGGAGGGCATGGAGAATGGTACTTGGGCCAGGGCTGTGCAGCTCGGTTCAGTCCCAGTGCCAGTGCCAGTCCCAGTGCCAGTCCCAGTGCCAGTCCCAGTTCCAGACCCAGTCCGTCGTTTCCAAGTGCGAACAATTGCAAAGGCCCAGCGACGAGAGTAACTGTCGCTCGCTTATTTTCCAATTTAACTCAATAACGCGGACTGGCTTAATGGCATTTGACGCTGAAAATTTGCGATTTACCCCAGACCCCATTCCCTCCTCCTACCCCACACGCAGCTGCACATTTATCATAATTCGAGAGTGGACAAACCGAAGCTGGGGCTGGACTACGAGTACTAGTGGTACTAGTGTGGCTTGGTGGCTGACTCGGAGCCTCTGGTCTGCGGATGTTGCTTGAGTGATTTATGCCATGGAAATTGTTGGTTAAAAAATCTGGAAATTATTCTCTGTTTCTCAAAATACATACATAAGTATTTCATAATCGGAGCGGAGGCAAAGATCATGATAAAAATAGCAGAAGAAGAGAATGACGACACAGAAGATCAGTGGATGGCAAAGCAGTGAAAATAGGCAGTGAAAAAGCAGTTTCCATTGTCACCATTCTCCCCGCAAGTGCGAGGAGGGAAAGAGAGCGAGCAGCGAGCAGTAAGCAGTGGAATCCGCACAGATCCGCCAAGTCGACGACATTTGCGGCAACTACAACAGCAGCAAGCAATAAAAAGATTTTCACCGTCTGCCGATGTCTCTCTTGACCATTGACTAGCCAATCTACCTCTCGAGAGCTCTTACTGCTGTTGGTCTTTCAAAGTGTCGTCGTTTACGAAAAGTTTTCTCTTTTGATACTCTTTGCAAAAGTGGGTATTACAATTTTACAATATGGCCGTTTGTCAGACTCAGGAACCAACCCGCATCGATTCTAAAATTGTGTTAAGATTCATACTATGCTCAGCTTTAGCAGACTCTTATTCTCTTTGTAGATGGCACCCGATCACTAGACATACATATGTATCTTATGGTTTTCATGATACTAATCTAATGAGTGATCCATTCGTAAGAATTTGATGCTTAGCATATCTTTTGATAATAATGCTAAATTGAACTAAGACCAGCCCTATCGAAAACCAGTCATAGCAAAGACAGTTCGTTAATCTTAAGTCTTAGTAGCAAAACTTTCGGTTTTATAGACAATCCAGCCGAAATTTGACCAATTATTGTACTCGTAGTTTTTCGTTGTGTAACATGGTGATGTTTGATCGGATTAGAACTACGAGTAAATCGAACGATCGATAACATATCATTCTATGTAACAATCGAACTTCAAGGGTATGTAAACCCGCGGCTCCCAAAGCCTAGCCTTTCTTTTTTGCTGTTTTTCTTTCCGTTTGGTCTCTGAGGAGGGGAGTGGAAAAGCAGAGCCAGGGGTTTGCTCGTCGATCGACCAATCTATGTGTTTACTTTGTTTGTGCCCCATTGCGGCATTTCTTTTCAGTTTCAATCTGGTTTTTGCCTGTTTTGTGGCTGGCTGTCAACAAACTGCAAAGGTTTGTTGTTGAATCTGTACAATAGGGTACTTCATCGAGATCTGTACATAAGTGGGAGGACTTGGATCCTCCCACAGTCACACATACATTTTTTGTACTCCAACACTCAAGGGGGAGTCGGTTTCGATTTCGGTATTCGGTATCGATCGGTCTGTTTCGATGTCGCGCACTATTTAACACAAAATTTAACTGCAAAAAAAATTGTGTTGCAATTTACTTGATCGTTGGGCTTATTTATTTTTTTTTAGAATTTGTTTGATCTCCTTTTGGCTTCTTCTTCGGCAACACACGTTTTTGTCCAATTTATTTTTACAACAATTTCAATTTTTGAGAGTTTTCTATTTTGCGCTTTTGCTGCTGTTCTGCACGGCACGCTCGGCTCGGTCCGCGGGTTCTATGATGCGCTCGCGGCGGCTGTTGAAATAAACTTGACGACAAAATAAACCGACGGTTTTCTTCGCAGTCGCAGCTAAAAATAGCAAAGAAGCGGCGTCGCAGCGGAGCCGAGCATCGAGCACGAATCGAGCGCAGACACGAAGCTTTTTTCCGTATGCAAGCAAAGCCATAGCATATTAATATAGGGTGGAACTTTACCATTACCTCTCTTCGTGTTGTAGATATATATGAATATTTTTCTAGATTCTATTGTGATATTGTGGATCAGCTATTTGCAGCTTTGCGCCACCCAAACTGGAGAAAATGAACTGTCAATCTAGAGGACATTTAAATTAACAAACTTCACTGTCATTATTCGTATGACCATAGATTTAAGACCGTAACACCATTCCACTCCTTCGATTGCTGGTTTTATAAAATTATTATCATCATTGGAGCACACTCGTTGGGAGTGCCTCACCTTGAACAAATACACCTTGTCCATGCAGTCCATGCGGAGAGTGCGGTAGATGCATTCTCTCCGAATAAAGCCAAAGAGAGAGAGGGGCGAATAGAGAGTGAGCACGCCGTCTGCATGCTTTATGAATGAGATTTATGTTTAGATTTCAGTGTCACGTTTTGATCCACATTCCACATTTCTAAATAAACGAATCAAATCAACGAATCAGCAGAAAAGCCATTGTCTAAGCTCACAAAGAATCTAACAAAAGAGATGGTGAAAGGCGGCGGGGGAGCGCAGGAGCTAACGTATGGAAATGTGTCTGTGACAGCAAGGGAAATGGAAAGTGGCACCAGTGACGTAAGCGGTTACGCTATTGAACCGTTAGCTGTTATGATCATATGATTGGAAACGACGTAAAGAAAGGCCCAAAGAAGATGCTCTGCTCACTCATATAATACAGAAACAGTAATCTCTGCTTATAGAGGCCACGAAAAGTAACAAACAACAACGAATAACACCACAACGTAACGCCAGAGAGGGTTAACGAACTCAAAACATAAACACGAAAGAAAAGGTGGGCCTTAACACCGCAGCTTTGAATACCCTTGCAGATCGATTGCTTGTACGGTAACTATTGGTTACAGTGGTCTAATTTAGGTATAATTTGGGCATGTTATATAGATTGTGGAAGAGCAGTTTTCCTTTCATGACAGATCACATTAAAATTAAGTGAGGCTCTGAATTATTTGGCAAATGATCTGCGATAATTAAAGAGATTTTTATTTGATCCTATCCCAATAAAGGTCATTTGGTCAGCTTTCACACTATGGGTGCTTCCTGCTATACTGAACACCCAATTCGAACGTTTCAGAGATGGTTCCTTATATTATATTTCCTTGATAGATTAAAGGCATAACTCTTGCAGAGGATAATTAATTTTTACCACAATGACAAGACGAGTCGTCTATCTATTTAAAAATAATCTAAACAAATCATAGCAATTCTGGTTTTATCTATGGATACCTGAGGAAACATATTTCAGGAGCACCTCAAACGATACCCTACACTCCAGTGATTATTTATGATTGCTTTTATGTGAAATCGAAGTTTGCATAATGTTGGCGCAACTCCCAAACCAAATCTCTGATGCAACAGAGCTGAGCGGAGCCGTAACGGGACCAGCGAAAAAACCCCCCCACGAGCCATCGACTCTGATCCAGTGGCAGGCGAACTTAGCATAAAGGAAAGTTGGGAGACCTCGTTTACCTTTCCATACAAAAATCTCTACAAAAATTTCTTTATTAAAACTAAGAGAAAAAAATAGTGACAGAAGCAGCAGAAAGCGGCAGAGGTAGAAGACACTTAATGAGCGGAGCTGGAGATGCGCCGAGGTGCGGAGGTCATTATGTAAATGGGGCCGCCATCATCGGCATCCCGGGGCTCCGAGCCGAGTGCTGCTATCTGGCTCACTTGTCTTTGCGCAGCTTCTGGCTGGATAGCTCGATGGCGTCCAGCCAGAGCTTGAGATCGGCGGGCATCTCCGGTCGCTTGGCCGCCTCCGGGTAGGTCTTGAGCAGCTCCTGGACGTCGCAGTTGGTAATGCACTGCTTGGAGAGGGCGACAGCCCGCACAAAACCGTCGGTCAGCGTCACGAACTGCTGCTCCAGATAGATGGCCTTGTCGTCCCACCAGACGAGCTTCGTCTGGATCTTGTACGGATGGAAGATGGGTATGGTGCGGCGGTACCGCACGCTGCTGGCACCCTGCACGGCACCGCCGCGCCGCTCCCGGATGCGCTCATACAGACCGGTGAGAGCGTAGAAATGGAAGCGGGCAAAGTCGAGCTCGCGCAGGTAGCGAGCATTATTCATGTGCCGGATGAATATGTCCACATCCTGGGAGGTGCACAATCCGTAGATGGAGGTACTCTCCGTCACCTTGCGCTTGCGCTGGAACAGCCGGCCGGCGAAGACGGTGAAAACGCAACGGATGAAGTAGTTCACATCCCAGATCACGTACAGGATCAGTAGAATCACTAGCCACGACATGGTTCGCTCTGTTCGCTGTGGTTCTTCTCACACACTATCGTGGTTTTTTGCTGTGGGATTGGATAGATGGGAAAACCCGTTAGGTGGTTGGTTAGTCGCTTCAGCGAAAGTTTTGCAACAGACTTTGGTCGCGTTACGTCCCGCGTCTTGCCTACAGCCAAAGTCCGTCGCGCGGGGCGGGTGTCAAGCGTATGCACTGAACCCGCTGGCAAGCAGTGCGACAATTCCAGCTCTGGAAATCTACTTACACTTGCAATAATCGACCCCTCTCGCTCACACAAACACAATGACGCTCAGCTGGCGTGGATACGATTACGATAGACCCCAAAAACAGCGGAGAAACAACAACCGTTGACTGGGCAAGGCCAGAGAAGACTGAACGGCGGCATCACCGTCACCACAGCGAAGAAAGCTGCCAAGCAGTCCAAAGTCGGAGAGTGGAGAGAGAGAGAGACCAGAAGACCACTAGCAGCAGCAGCAGCAGCGGAGCGATAAGTGCAAAGCCCCTGAAAGAGAGCGGAGTGCCACCTCTCAGAGAGGTGAACAGTAAGCAGTGCTTCTTGGGCGTTGCATTCTTTCTATTCTTTATGATAAACACAGATGCAGATTACTATATGCAAGGCCAACAAGTGGCTGGCTTTTGTTGTTGTTGCTCCTGGCTATCGATTGGTGTCCGATTACGATTCCGATGACTAAGTTGGAGTGGAACAATCACGCGATCAATTAGCACATTTGCGGCATATGTGGAATTACAAAGTTTACTGGCGATAGGCAAATACGTGGGGGGTGAACTATGAACGCTTGCCGGGTTTAGCAAACTGTAAATTACCCAAAAGGTAAAAGTATCAAGTCAAGGGGCGGATATCAATCAATCAGTCATCGAAAGACTCTCCTCTGCAGACGACGAGAACCAATGCATTCGTGTTCCAGGGGCATACTTTCGGGCGATTCAACCAGAGCGGAAGAGAGAGAACCCGTTAAGCGGAGAGTTTTACTTTTGTTTTACTAAACACAATCATTGTACATCATAATCTTACACACACTTGGGACTACCAATGGGGGGGGGGCCTTGGATTTGGGCTTGGGTTTGGGTTTGGGTTTGGTTCAAACATGAATGATGATCATCATACATTAGATAAAGCTACGGCTTAGGGGCGGACACTTACGCCTAGGGTCGCTTGGACCACTTAATAATGTATACATAGTACGAGTAGCACAGTTTGTTTTTCTCAGCTAACAGCCGCGAAACGTATCAGGAGAGGCGACGGGTCCCACTTTCCCGTCAGCAGCCGCTGCGTAGATTCTTGCTGGACATGTCATTGTACTCGATCCACTTGGACAGATCCGGCGGCAGCGATGGCTTTAGCTTTGCGCAGTGCCCCAGCGCCGTCACCGTCGCTGTTGGTGTTGTCGCCGCTGCCGCTGCTGCATGTCCGTTCTCCGCCAGAGAGGATTGGTCCATCGCGGGATTGCTGATGCCCCCGGCTGCGCCCATCGGCTGCAGGCTAGCCCCAGAAACGGGGGCCACGTGCCGTTCCCGTTCCGTTGGCCGGAAGTGATCCGAGGCCGTCCGCGGCAGTAGCTCTGCCATCACCGCATCCATGGACACGTCAATGACGCGCTGCCGACAAATGGCTATGCAGTGCACAAACTTGTCCGACGGCCGCAAGAAACGGTGCTCCATGAACAGCGACTGGTCATCCCAGTACACGATCTGCAGGCGAGATCCCAGAGAAAGGGCTTAGAGAATGCCACAGGTGGGGGGGAGGGGGGAGCCGACACACTCACCCTGGAGACGATTTTGAAGCGATGAAAGGGTCGTATGAAACGACGATAACGTATGGTGGCCGCGCCCTGGAATACGGATCCCCCCATGGCCGTGATGGTGCGATACAGACTGCTCCGCTCGTAGAAGTCCACGCGGGCAAAGTCAAGCTCCCGGAAGTAGCGGGCATTGTTCATGTGGTACAGCAGCGTGTCCACATCGTTGGTGAGGCACAGACCTGGTGAGGGTCCGAGACTAACCGATTAGTGCACCCAAAACGGGTAACTCTGGGACTCCCACTCACCGTTCACCGTGGTGGCGTCCAGTATGTGGCAGCGTCGCTTCACAAAACGCGCCAGCACCACACAAACGCACATGCGCAGGAAGTAATGCAGCTCGAGCAGTCCATAGAGGACCACGATGACCAGGAGGCAGCTCAGCGCCAGGTAGCACAGCTGCTCCATGGCTTGAGCAGATGCTGCTGGATGGATGGAGGTGATTCGACTCTCTGTGGCTGGAGCGGTGGCCTGTGCCTGTGGCTCTGACGTAGACGCTATGCGTTGGGCGCGTTGGGCGTTGGGCGGTGGGCTGGGTGCGTGCGGGCCCGGGGCCTTGGTGCTAGAACAGTTCCGGTAACTAAAAAAGGAATGCGGTGGAGAGAGAACGAATACCAATCAAAATGGGAATCTAATTAGAGGAGACGGATGTAGGAGGAAACCAGTCAAGTGCCTTTTGTGCTGTGGGGGGGGATTGCGGGTTTTCTTTCTTGGAATGGGCGGGGGGAGGTTGTTGCTGGTTTGTGTCCTGGCTACGCGACAGCCACACAAAAATTAGGTCATTTCTTCCGCCGTACACATCTCCCGAAACCCGGGACCCTCATCAGGTGATTGAAGGGAAGGATTGATTGGATGGTACGGACACACACGGACACACACGAGCACAGGGGTGCACGGGCTCACGGGCGCACGGGCGCACGGTCCTGTGTGCAGGACAACCGACAACCCCCAAATTTGCTTGGGGACAGCTGCTGGAATAACGATATTTCCTATCTGTTTTCCTATCTGTTCGTTGGCCACAACAGGAAAAACCGCCGCCCGGAACTCACCAGCAAACTAAGAAACACAAGAAAAAAAACCAAAAACGAAACAAAAAAAAGGCAATATATTATTTAAACGACACCAGGAGGAAAACACAACAATTTCTATAAAGCCAAACGACGCGCCTACCACAGCGACAACAAGCGCACTGAAACTTACAAACGTATTTTTTTTTAGGTTTTTTTTTTGGCCAAAATGCTGCGGGTGCTTCTGCCTGCTGCTGCTGGTGCATCGCTGCTCGGTCAGAGTCTTCGTCTCGGTCTCGGTCTCGGTCTCAGTCGCCGTCTCAGTCGCGAGGGGCCTCTACGACGCCTGCGCGCTGAGCGAAGTTCGACCCGTCCGTTCGTGCGTGCTCTCAGCTGACGTCCTCACAGCAGCAGCTTTCATCAGCCAGCAGACAAAAGCTCTTTTCTGGGCAGGTAAGGGTTGAAACCAACCTGTTGCCGTTGCCCGAAAGCTTTAATCACCGCCCGCTTCCTGAAAGTGGAGGCGCTACCACTTTCGGGACAAAGTTCCTTGGTTGCGCTTTGAGCCGCCGGATGGCCACAAGTGGAGCACCCTCGAGGCGTATCGGTTTCCGCTTTCATTGCAAATAAACAGGGCTTCCCTGTTCCCCTGTAGAATCCCATAGAATTCCCATAGAATCAAAGAAAATTCTTTGAATAGAACCTTGTACACCGATCTACAGATATATCTTCGAACAGTTGAAACAGTTTGAAGACATGAAAATAGTTCGAATGGAATTTCCATTAAATTATAAGTAGTTCCAGAACTTAAGGGCTAGCCTTTGGTCTGCTGGCAATGTGGAATGGAATTTTGCATTTTGTCGAGTAAGAACACAAATTAGCTATCGGCAAACACTAGTCAGAGCACACGCTAAGCAAATACGGGAAGTTGGCAAATATCGAAAAAGGAAAACAGGTTCGTAAGAATGCTATAGGTCTATAGTCGAGTATTCCGACTATCAAGATACCTACGCTATTTGGATATTCACACATCTCATACAGCCACAACAACCATTGTTGTACTTATACTCAAGTTTTTAAGCACTTTATGGTTTAGATTCTATTTTTAATCTTTCTTTGTGCAATCGATTATAATACACCTTTTATGTACCTTCTGTTGCATACGATTCACTCGACTAGACGAAACCCGTGCGGGTACTGCGGGGTGGTCTCGAGTATTCTTACTGGAAAAACAAAAGGCAATAAATGAAATCCACTAACACTTAGTCCGACATTGCACCATTGATTTTTGATCTTCTCGTGTTGCGGGTTTTGTTTTCCTATGTTTTTTTGTTTTTATTTGAAAAACAACAAAAAAGTAAACGTCCAAGCGTGTTAAGCTTTAAACTAGAATTTCTGTTAGTTGTATTTTAGTTGTACTGTTTTGTGTGGGTTTTAGGACAAACATAATTACGACAAAAGTGATTAAAGTGATTTAAGTGCTATGTACAGAGTGGTGTTCTTGGGACTATATATAGTAGGTGTATATATATTTTCTTGCTCCACTCTCAAGCAAGCTCCGGGCCTGGCACTCTGGGCTCCGTCTCCGGAAGCTCCTGGCCACTCAGTCGGGTCCCTCTCTTTTCGACTCTTTGTGTACTTCTCTAAGGGTGACACATTTTCTCCACCCTCCCGATTGCCTTAGAATCGATAATAACAATGTATCCTCTCGTTTTGGGAACCCCGAAATGCCCCGTTTGCCTATTTGTTCCTTACATATAACACAGGTTTAGCGTACAACAGTTTTTGTTTTTTTTTTTTGAGTTTTTTGCGGGGCCAAGGTAAGGTCTGACTTTCTGCTTAAATAAAGTTATGTACTATAACTATGTATGTATGTATCTATGTTTTCGTTTGTGTGTTTTGTGGTTTCTAGATTTAATTAAATCTAAGACATCGTTATTTATATATGTACAAAAAGGGGATAGGGGTAGGGTAGGGGTTAAGTGTGAATAACAACAAAAAAAAAACTAAATTATTGAAAAAAGAAACGAAGGATTTGTAGAGCCGCCGGTGAGGGAGGGGGTTAGGGGGGGACAGTCGGAGAACAGACAGTAGTTATAGATAGATATAGATATAGTGATAGATATATGGTAACGCATGTTGGATAGTGTAGTTATTCTGAATCCCTTGCTCTCACTCTCCATCCTGCTCTAACTCCTGCTGTGGTTATCCCCCTCTCTCTCTCTCTCTCTATCTCTCTCTCTGTCTCGCGCGCTCTCTCTCTGTCTATCACTCTCGCTCGGTTCTACTCTTCGTTCATTACGGATTGGATTGAATTATATCATCCATCCACTGACTATAAGGCATCGAAAACACACAGATCTGCGACCAACTCCACTCTGTGATCTGTCTCTCTTACAAACTAACCCTACAAGTGGGGTTTCACTTCCAATTCGCATCTATTCCATCTGCAATCTATTCAATTTCCGTTTTGTATTCTAAACACTCCGATGAATCCCTTCACAGAGTTCTGCACTGTGGCAGAAGAGCAGCGGAGCAGCAGAGCATCGGAGCAGCAGCAGCAGCAGCAGCAGCAGCAGACAGGCATCTCATTTGGTGTCGTCGACTTGGCAGAGGGCCTCAAAGTCGCAGCGCTCCACACTGTCCGCATATAGGCGGCGGATCGTGGCCAGCGGGCACAGGTCCTCGTCTTGTGGGCAACCTGGCAGGCGGACTGCACGCTCCTGGTGCAGCACCAGGACACGAGGCGGCTCCTGCTCGCATCTGTCATACAAAAAGAACACAATTAGAGGCTTCAAATAAAAGGGGGTGCAAGGAATGACTCACTCGTAGCGCAGAAAAGCCAAGTTGGTCGCAAAGGCATCGATTTCGCTGGTGCGCCAGAGACGCTCGCTGCCAAAATGCTTGTGTGTGAGTGCCTCCTTGTCCTTGGCCAGGCCGAGATGGGCCAGCAGCTTCAGCAGTGTACCCGAATGGGTGAAGTAGAACGTGGCATTGGCCCGGGGCATGGCCTGGGAGACTGGGCTGTGGGGTACACGCAAAAAAATGTTTATCAAGAATGACTCAAAGGAATGGACTCGCACTCGCACTCGCACTCACTCGATGGCCGAAAACATATCTGCTATCGCCGGACAGGCAATGCGATGGGTCAGCTCATAGCCATAGCCATCGTTCCAATAGTACTCCAGATCCTTGGCAAACTCCAAGGCCCTCAAGGCATCCACATCGAAGAAGCTGCACCAGACCGATTCGCGCTGCCGTCGACGCTGCCAGGATGTCTCGAAGGCGCACACCATATACATAAGCTCCACATCCTCGGGGCCCAAGTCCGGCAGCTGGGTGCTGCCCCGCACATGCTCCACTGCTGACTGCATCTCCGGCTCTTCGGTGAACCGGCGTGCATTAATAAAAGTTTCGGGATTCTTATCGACGTCAGTTCTCCATCTGTCGCAGAGTTTATAGAACTAAAAGAGGTTTGAATAGAGGTAATAGGAATTAGCAATCAAACGACAGTATTGTTTCAGTAAGGATCTCCACAAAGATATTATTTTAAGGGGATATAAAAACCTACATATATCCCACCCCCTCTGGCTGGAATTTTGTTATTTTTAAGAAAAGATATAGATAGACAGCGCTCCGATCTACGGAGACTAAGCGGGAATGGATATGGTACATTTATATTTATATACGATAAATGACAGATTGATAGAGTGAAATGATAGGGCCTCGCTGGGGAACTTGGGGAAGTAAGCTTTTGGGTGAGATGGAGGAGTCTTGTATACCTGGCATGGGACTGTAGATCGCGACCATGTTGTCCACAAATCCCACTGCCAGCTGCGCCTTGTACGAGTGGAAGGATAGACAGGTGGGGTGCCCAGTCTTGGGCCCAATGAATCCCTCGTTGGTCCGCAGCACCTTTTGCAGATCCCCCTTCAGTGAGTAGATGCAGATCTTGGTGGCATTGCCGCATGCCACAGTGCCCTCGATCTGGTGGCTGGAAATGGCTGTGATATCCGCTCCAGCATCCCACTGGTACAGCACCCGGTCCCCAGTGCCGATGGGGAACCGCGCCCCGCCATTCCGCACATCCACCACACTGACCGTTCCGTTCTCACAGCCTGCCACTAGGAGCGGCTCGTTTGGTCGCATGTACGCGTGCAGTATGGGTGCATCGTGGCGGCGTGGCTTGTATACACAGACGGGGGCATAGCGTGTGGCACAGCGCATGTCGATCAGTTGCACACTGCCGTCCTCGCAGCCCGCGAGTATCAATTCACAGCTCTGGTTGGGCAAATAGGGGCTGAGCACGCGGACGGTCGTCTCGTTGCGTCGCAGCTGAATGTCGCTCAGTCGGAGCTCCCGCTCCACGTCCCAGATGCGCAGGAATCGGCAACCGCCGCCGCCCACCACCAGCCGTTGGCTGTACTGCTGCCAGGCCGTGATGATGCTCGAGCTGCCCGAGCTGCTGGGCAATCCGCCGCCGCCTGCCTGATCCGCGCTGCTCTTGATGGTTCCTCCGCTTCCCGCGATGCTGGTGCGCTGTCGTGAGCCAGTTCCTGTGCCCGTGCTGGTTCCTGTTGCTGTGCCCAACTGCTGGCTGGCGCTGTTCACCGGCGCAAGGGCTGTCCAGGCGGTGATCAGACTAGACCTGGCCTGCTGCTGCATCGATCCAGCGGCATCCTCGCCCTGTGACGGTGGCTGCCACACCCTTACGATGCCATCATCGTGGGCCACCAGTGTTAGGGCCTGATCCTGGGCATTCAGGAACTCGATGCTGCTGACCCGCGCGAACGTGGGCACGGCCATCAGTCCGGACAGACCCGACGAGTGCTTGCGGGGCGTGCTGCCGTTCAGGGAAGAGGACGAGCCAGAGGTGGAGCCAGAGCCACTGCCGCCCGCACTGGCCCCCGTTCCGGTGCCCGTGCCCTTGGTGCCGTGTGCTGCCAACGCCTCGGCGGCGTAGGTGCGCACCGAATTCCACACAAAGTCGTAGACCAAGACCTTCTCGCGATAGGCCACGGCTATCTGGGATTCGTACGGCAGCAGCTTCACAATCGATGGCGTGAATTGGGTTTTCCGGCTCCAGCTGCACACATCGTAGCCAAATTGATCGGTGATCTGGCTCTGCTGCGTCCGTCGTGCCTGCCCTTGGCCCCTTGGTTCGCTTTGGTGGCTCTGTGGGCGTCGCGCCTGTCGGCGGATCAGTTCGTTGCGCTGGTAGCGATACCGTCGAGTGCGCAGCTCCTGCGAATTGCGATCCACGGGGTAGCGCTGCTCTCCCTCCGCTTTACCCTCCGCCGAGCTGTAGCGATGCTTGCCCGGCCGCGTAAAGTAGGAAATGGCCCACGGTATGAACTCTGTCTTGACTATGGGCTGCAGCGCCTGTCCATGGCTGCCGTGGCCCTTGCCCGGCTCGTGGTAGTGATTGCTCTCGCTGCCGCTGCTGCGAGCCGAGTGGCTGCCACCGCCAGCCGCCTCTCCTCCAAGTGCGGGTCCCAGGCCGCCGGCCGCTACTCCTCCGGCGCCGCCGCGGACATAGGCTGGTCCGCTGTCAGTCTCATCGTTGATCGAGCTCGTCCGCAGCTTGCGCTGCAATATCATTTGTGGATCCCCCGCTGCACCGGCGGCTCCGCCTCCTGTGGCACTCCCTGACAGCCGCAGCTTCTGGGCCCAATGGCTGGCACCCACTGTGGTGGCGCCGCCACTGGCGCCCGCATTCACGCCGGTGGTGCAGCCCACGGGCGGCGATTGGCCGCTCCCCACGGCGCCCCCGAGATAGGTGACTCGCGTGTTGGGGCTGGGAGGCAGACTGACGCTCAAGCTGTTGCACTTCTCGGAGGCCGTGGCCATCGTGGCCTCCTTGGCGGCCATGATCGGAAAGCGGGCGGTTTCGCGCACGTGATGGACAATCTTTAGGGCGGTGGCAGCCACCTGGGGGAACGGATCCTGGGCAAGTTGGCAGATGCCCAGCCACAGTTTGGTGAAGATCGATTGGAACGGTATGCTGTTGGTGCCTCCGGCCACGCCTGCGCCCGCTGCCACTCCTCCCACGGAGCCCGAGCGTTCGCCGCTGCTTTTGCCGGCTCGACTGGGCCCTCCTCCTCCTGCCGCTGCTCCTGCAGCTGTGAGACCTAGACTGGCCGAACCGCAGCCAGAGCCCGTGCCCATATTGGATATGGAACTGGAGCTAACGCCACGACGCATCGTCATATGCCGCTCCAGGCTGTGGGTGGACGAGGCGAGCGCGTGGGCACCCGTCGGCAGGGCACTGCCGCCATGGAGCATCACGAGGGTGGAGGCGGCATGGCTGCTGCGCATATTCTCCGCCAGATATACGGCCACAAACTGCGACTCGAAGAGCAGCACCATCCACTGGAGGGCGGCGGCCAGTTCCAGGCGCACCAGCGGCGACATATCCTCCCCGACAGTCTCCAGCAGAGTGATGGCTATGATGCGGTCAATGTTGTTCGCCTGCTGCTCGCTGCGGTCCGTCACGGAGCTGATGAAGGTGCCCAAGGCGAAGACGGCGGCCGCACGCACTTCGGGGATCGAGTCGCGGAGCAGCACATAGAGCTTCTCGTGGGCCAGATCACGGGCCCCCGACCAGCGGGCCTTCTCAAAGTTCTGCCATAGCATGCCCAAGCAGATGGCCAGCCACTGGCGCAGGAGCCAGCTGTGATCGTTAAGCTGCTCCAGGCATATGGAGAGCAGGGGTCCCTGCAGGGCGCTCGTCTGTCCGAGCAGGAAGTTGTGCACGATGGAGGCCAGCACGAAGGCGGAGAGGCTGCGGTGCTCCTTGGAGACGGTGCTGTCCTGCAGCACGGACAGAAAGTACTTGTACTCCTTGACCAGATCCACCTGGCAGCTGGGATCCACGGCCAATATCTTGGCCCAAATAAACACCAGCACTGGCCGCAGCTCGCGCGTTGAGCTCTGCAGCAGCTTGAGGACATACGGAAAGATGCCCACGCCCAGGGCCAGATTGACGGCCCAGGGCCCGAGGTCCAGGAAGCGGGCCAGCAGCTCCAACGCCCGCAAGCGATGCACCTGCGACAGCAGCACCTGCAGCACAATCGGCAGCTGTTCGGGCGGTGTGCGCGACTCCGATTCGCTGTCCAGCCACACCTGAAAGGCCGTCAATTGATGCTCGAAGAACGGCAGCTGCCGGTACGGGGCGCTATGGTCCAGTATCTCTGGGAGCTGCTGCAGTGCCAGGTCCACCACCAGATCCCAGGCCTTCCACATCGGATGGCGGTAGCAGGGCGGCAGTGCCGGCAGCGATACGGGCGTGCAATCGTGGCTCCTTAGGATGCGCTCAGCAAGCAGAAAATTCCGAAAGAGGCTGGCCACCAGCAGATCCTGGCGGAACAGACGCTGGAACAGCTCCCGTGGGAGCGTATTCCAGGCTATCGTATCCGTGATGGCCGTAAAAATCCAGTTGAGTTCTCCCATCATGGTCCGTCTGTCGTTGACTTTGCCTGGAAGCACAGGAAGCACACAGGATGTGCGTCAGTCAGGCTCAGAGTGGGGGCTAGCGGGGCTATGTCTTACCTGGTATCTTGTCAATCAATTCGCTTTGGATGTGCGGCACCATCCCCAGCTTCTCCTGCATCGCATACCACTTGAGGGCAATGTTAATGGGCGTGGTCAGGCAACTGGTGAAGAGATCTGCCGGCAGCTGGGCATTCATCGGCAGTATCTCGTTGGCCGCACACGCGGCCAAATGTATGCAGTTCTTGTAGCTGACCAGCTGCGTCGGCAGCTGTACAGAGGAGCCGCCGGATCCAGAGCCCGGTATAGAGCCGGGCTGCAGATGGGCCAGGCCCCGCTGCTGGGCAATGGCCAGGGCCTTCTCCAGCTCGTGCTCATGCTGCTCAGCATACGGCTGGAAGGAGTTGATGATGATCCCCGCATTGGAGCAATCGTACACATAGATCGACGGCGCCGACATCCATGTGATCAGCTCAAAGATGCTCAGGGGTATGTACTGCGTGAAGGTCTTGTTGAACACCCAAATCTCTCCATTGGCCGTCGGCTTGGGCACCCCATGCCCATTGTAGTGGAAGAGGATGCGCTCCCCCTTGGCGTTGCGACGCAGCGAGGTGCAGAGCTTCTTCACATCATCGACGGTGGGATCGTGGCACTTCTTGTAGCGGGCACGGGGCTGCCACCGTTCGTACTGCATCTGTAGATTGCTACCGATCAGCTCCATGGCCTTCGGCGGCGACACAGAGCTGGGATCAATCCAGCATTCGAGGCGGGAGCAGGGTTGTATCTTCACCACATCCGGCGGATCCACACCAATGTTCAGGCAGAGCACCAGCGCCACGCTGGCCGTCTTCATGCGCTCCCGGATGCGCCATGCCTGACGCTCGTACTTCAGTCCCTCGATAAGCTCCAGATGCCGCTTGGCGGAGAACGAGAACGAGATGCCCGAGTCGTCGTGCTCGCTATGCCCGAAATGGAAGCTGCTGGGCACCACATCAAAGTGAAAGAGCTGGACGAGCAGCGACGGGCCACCGGCGTACTGGCTGCGGTCGCCCTCGCGATCGCCACGATCCCGTTCCCATTCGCGTTCCCATTCCCGCTCCCACTCCCGTTCCCATTCGCGCTCATTCGGCGGCCTGTTCGAGGCCGAGGTGATTGTCTTGTGACTGGGATTGGACGGGCCATCCTGGCCAATCATTAGGCTGCCAATGTCGACAGCGCTTCCATTGCTGCTGCTGTTGTTGCTGGTGTTGCTATTGTTGCTATTGTTGCTGTTCGTGCGGTTATTGGCGTACAGCAGCGGTTCACCGCTGCCGCTGCCGCTGCCGCTGCCGCCACCGCCGCTGTTGTTGCTGCTTTCATCGACGCCCACGGCGGTGGCGACGGCATCTGCGTTGGAGGCTGCACTGGGCATGGCGCTGTAACGCGACTCGAGCATGCTTCAATTTCGAATTCACACGCACACAAGATCCGATCCGAATCACACACACTGTGTGTGGTGTGGCGTGGTGTCGAGAGCTGCTGTGGTGCTGTTGTTGTGTGGTGTGGTGTGGGGGTGTGGTGGTGTGCAGGGGGCTGTCGGACTGTGCTGGGGAGGCCTTGGTCTAGGCACGGGACATCCCCGTGACGAGGGCGATTACGTCTCCGATTGCAGTTTCAACGGCAGAATCCGTTTTTCTCAGCGACTATGCTGCACATAACCAAACACTTTTTGCACTCTCGCTCGCCCAAACACGCAAACACACACGCGAACACATATAATGGTACACTCACACACGCACGCATGCAGTGGACTGCCCGCTGCCTTCTGACGACGACGGACCTCCAAGATTCGTTTCGTCGCCTCACGTTTTTACGTTTTACAATTCACCCGAAACCCGATGTGTGGTTCCATCAAAATCTTTTGGTTCCACTACCGCGTGTTGACCACCAACTGCTTCACTCAATTGCTTTTCCAGTCACAAATGCGCACACGAAAATACTCAAATCAAACCAAATCCACTCTGCTATCAAAAAATTTAACGAAATACGCATTAACGGGTACATTAGGGTAACTAACACAGCCACAGACACAAACAGAAAAATACACGCATACAGCCGCACTTCATGTGACACTTTTCTCCTTTGCGTTTCTTTTCTTACACTGCAGCGTTGCCCACTCTGCCAACGTTGCCAGACTGACTCAAGAAAAATATCGCTTAGAGCGCGCGCTCGATTTATGTTTGAATGTAATTTTCAAAAAGGTACTGCACTCACCCTAAGCACAGGATCCCGATACACAGGTCGGGGATAACGCACCGCGTGTATGCGATGACGGCCAAACAGACCCGTTGCAAAACTCTGGGCGCTCTTCAGCGTCCTCTGGGTGTCCGTGTACTTCATGTAATACCAGGCTGGGTCGTACATGTCCGGCAAGAGCGAGGGAAAGCGCAACTGCATGCGTTCGGCCAGCTCTATCAGCTCATCCTCGCCCTCAGCCACCAGCAGCTTCTCATCCTCGGCGGCGTTCAGATGCCCCCAGCTCCATTCACGGAGTTGCTTCATTTCGGCTGGGCAGAGATTAGGATGTGGCTGGCTGAGCAGGCGCTGCTGCAACTCCACGAGACGCTGCTGGGCGCGCATTATGACCTTTTTGCTGGGATTCCGGCTGCCATGGCGAATGACCGACCAGATTCGAGTAGGGTGGCAGCCTTGCTTGCGAAACCGAACCGGTGGAGAGAAGAGAACAGATGAAATACGTAAAATCAGCTGTTGGAGCGGCTCGGCTCAATAATACCCACCCGCGTACTGCGGCGGCGTCTCATCGTAATTAGCTATAACCCTATAGGGTGTCTTGGTGGACAAGCGCCGCTCAATGTCGGCCCGTTGCAGGCTGCTGCAGGCAGCCGCCGCCTGAGTATCGGCATCGGCCAATACTGCGCGCTCCATTGGCAGTACTAGTACCAGTGCCGATAGCAGAAGTGGCAGGAACAGAATTGGGAATGGTTGTAGCATTCTTCCGGATAGCGGGAAAACTTGTCAGAAGTAAAACCAAAAATTTGGTAAAACAAAAACGAAACAAATCAAAACATTCAAAACGAGACTTGCACGCGCACGCTAAGAAACACACGAATCGAGAGACACAGGGCAGACCAGCAGATGAAAGAGGGATTAAAAGGGAGGCTGCGTAAAGTAAACACGCAAAAGGGAATTGGCAAGTGCGTGAGAGTGGCAGCACTGCACAGAGTGAACACCGCGCGGTCTGGTATAGTTCACTTGCGACAAGGCTGCCAGGTAATCAGAAAAGTACCGATATACTGTTTTGCCAAAATAAATATTTACTAAAATATATAAACATATAAACATTCACAGCTCTCATTTAAAACTTAAGAACAGTTACTTTTCGAGAAAATAAAAAAATAATAATGAATGGCATCTATCGGTGTGCTTCCCAACACTTCTGCAGCACTGTGTAAAAGTGCGACCGTTTACTGAAAAAGCACTATAAAACGTTTATGTTTGAATCGAAATTTTTTGTTGAGCGCTTTTTACATATTCATTTTTAGTATCTTTCCCGCTTATTGCACTGCACGCCAACAAGTGGCGAGCTTTTATCAGAAAATGTCCTCTGCCTGGATGGCTTAACGCCTGGCTGCCGCAACATTGCTTTTCGCTTTGTGTGCCAACAGGAATGCTTAGTCGCGCAGTCCAATGAGCACTAAACGCGCATTTTACCGATAATCTGAGAAGAGTAGGCCACCGAGAGGAAATCAATTGTCCTCGCACCGAGCGCCACGTTTATACGCCGTTTCATCGTCTCCTTTCCTTTTCTACGTTTCCACTTTGGTTTCGGTTCGGCTTTTGTTTCGTTCATGTCCCGCCACAGTTTCCGTTGGCTCCCTTACCGCGTTTCTAGTTGCCATATGGAGCCGGTATCGGCCAATGTCAACCAGAGCAGCAGAAGCAGCAACAGCAGCAAGGAACAGGAGCCACGTCACGCCACGCACGTGTCGACTAAAAGTTTTGCGCCAAAACTGGAGCCTGAAGGTAACCGTAGCCGTAAACGTAATAAAGTCGTTGTCCTGGTGCGTGCTTCGTGGCTTGATTTGTTGGACTGCAGCACGCAATGGTGCTTAGACGATGTTAATCTTCTTTATTGGCCTCAAAGAGTACAGGGAGCACGGGCTCCGAAGCACGCCACCTGTTGGGCGCCATAACGGCAAAGCTTTAGGCGCGAATTTTGAATGGGAAAATCCATCGAAAAGGGGGAGGACTTGAGCCATCAAATGATGTTGATTTGAGGGTGTGGTTCAGTGGGGTATTAGTCGGGTGGGGTGCTTGAGAGAGTGGCCAGAAAAGGATCACTTGGAGTTGGTAGTTGGTGTTTGGGGGGCAGAAAAGAAGCGCTGTTCGAGTGGGTGGGCAATCAATCAGCGAAATGAAATCAACGGCAACGTAATTTCAACGATTACCCCTGCGGCATCGAGTGGCTCCCGAACGAACAAGTGTCACAAGCAATAACAAAGGAAGAGGGGCTGGGGAAAGCGTAATCTCTGGCCGACCACCGACCACCGACTACCGACAGCCAACCTGAACGGAAGGGGGCCCCAACTTATCGGCCAACACATGAAGAGAGGTAATTAATTTTTTGGTATTTGTGGTACCGAGAACATATTGACTATGACATGATGATCACGCACTGATACTGATAATGACCATACCAATGCCACAGACACAGGTCTGGGAGCTGAATCTGGAGCTGGAACTGTGGCTACAGCGTCATGCTGGCTGCCATTAACGCGCTTTGTGTATGGAACGCGCCAAGTGAGCACGACGCGGTCCCAAAACCTGCGGTTTGGCGCAAGCAGCGCACCTGTCCAGCCGCCAGTCAGTCAGCCAGCAGCGAAGAGACTCGCTCTGCCTCCTATCTCTATGGGAGTGTGTGCGGAAGGGTGTGTAGGTGTTGCGGTGTCGTCGCCTGCACTTTCTTTGACAGCAGCAGAGCCGCAACGCAATAGCAGCAGCAGCAGCAGCAGAAGTTCAATTGCTTGGCAGAATTCCAGACAAAGGGGCTAGACTGATTGATACCCTTTCTACGAATGGGATAGGGAGTCTCAGCAGAGATAATAAAGAAAGCTCTTACTCACCCTTAAATCGATATACATATGTATGCACATATGTACATATGTAGCTGTCTCCACCATTAATTACTTAATATCAATTATTAAAATGTCCATCAAATTCCATGAGCATTTACCAGCACTGTATATAAACCGTAATTTAAGGAATCATTTTGTTCACCTTCAACAAACTTTTTTTTCTTTATTCTCTGAACCGTTAGAACTTAGTCTCCCGATTGTATAATTTATAATGATTAAATCTTAAAGACATGGGGAGAAAAAGACGAAGAAGAAATGGACACAGAGCCTCGTTCTGGATATTAATTTAAAATTCTCTTCGAATAATAGTTATCTTGAATTTCGGATAAGCGTAACCATTTGGTCATTATCCAAAAGAGGGGCCAGTGCCAGCTCCTGCCTGTCGCCCCACTCGAGCCCCAGCCCGTGCTATGGAGTAAACCAACTTAACAGCAATTTAATCTACACCTTTTTGGGTGTCAGTGTTCAGTTCCATTCACCCAGTGTAGTGTCGTTGTTGTTGCTGACGACGCGCTGCCGTTGACGCTGGCGCTGGCGCCAGTGCTTAAAAGCTAAGGACACGCGCTCAGAACGTTCAGTTCGCCTCGAGTTTTTGCCCCGCGCGGTTTGGCGCGAACAAGAGACAGACACGCACCGCACACGGACACGCACATTGGCCACAGAGCCGCCGCACGGAGCCAGAGAACCACAGAGCCACAGAGAGCGTTGAATATTAGTTCCAAAACAAAAACGCAACGGAACCAAGTCGAAAAGAACGGAACGGAACGGAACGGAGTAGAGAGCAGAGAGCAACAGAGAAGAGGCCATAAAGAAACATCGACGGAACGGACGTCCGTCCCCGGCAACGGTAACGGTAACACGCAGCAGCAGCAGCATAACGTAACAACAATATCAAGCAACGGTAAACGTAGCCGTAAAGCCACAACGAAGACAAAAGTAATGAAAAAACACAACAAATCTAAAACAAAACAGAACAAAAAACATGAACAAAACACTGCGAATAGCTAAAAAAAAAACATTAACAATTTAAAGTTAGTTTAGAACAAAGGCAATCGAATTTGTTGTTATACAATGTCGCATTTCATTTAGTTTTTTTAGTTGGGTTTCGAGTTTCGTGCTGTTCTTGTCCACCGCACACTCTCCTCTATTTTAGCTTTCTGTCGTTTCGTTTTCATTGACGCAGCAGTGGCGATCGGTGGCAGCGGCAGCGGCTGCGGCTGCGGCAGCATTTCGCATTTCACGTGGCGCCCAAAATATTCATGACCATCACGAGATTCGATTCGAGATTCGAGAATCGGATTGTGGGGGCTTCCTCCTCTGGGCCAGAAGCCCACCTGCGGCGCCAGCTGCTCTGCTGCTGCGCTGCCTCCGGCTCAGGCCTCAAGTCACAGCCTCAGTCTCAGGCTGGGCTAACTAGTTTCGAGTTTTGCAAATTTCGCCGCTCATTAATCTTCGATTAAATTTATACAAAATCCAGCAAACTGTTTGGCTGTGTAGCCCCTAGGCCCCCTCTCTCTCATGTTCTGTCGCGCCGCCGGCTGCGTTTGCGCGGCAACGGTCGAAACACGTTGGCCCTGATCGTCACACTCACAAAAGCAGCAACAACAGCAAGGCAGCAGCACAGGGGAGAGGCAACCAACGCCAGCGCAACGCAGTTGTTTGGGCAAAGGAGGAGGCTGGCGCACGCAGTGCAGTGTAGGAGACAGAAGGAGCGCAAAGGTTTATTCAGATAGGAGTGCAGAGAAAGCAGTGGCCTTAAGGTGGAGCACAGGAAATGTATTTGAGTAACAGTGAAGCGCAGGCTGCTTAGTTGAGTAAGAGTATCGCGCTGGGCATGCAGCGCAGTAGAGCAAGCACAGGAACTTGAGTGACAAAGCAGTTGAATAACGGTGGAGCCTGCAGTTAAGCAATTGTGCAGCCAAGGCAGTGCAGTTGAGTAAGTGTGGAATCCAAGCAGTGTCGTGAAGTCAGAGAGAATCGCATCTGAAAGCAGTAGAAGAGTTCTACCTCTCTTGTTCACCCCTTGATGCAGTTTTTACTAATGCTATTGCGCAATACACAGGCTGTCTGTCATACAGTGGAAACTCGACACGTGACTGATGATCGACTGTCCGTCCGATTGGATTAGTGGTTGCCGATCTGGTTGGGGCCGGTCTGGTCTGGTCTGGACTTTGCCGGCAGTAGCGGCGGCTATCGGCTTACGTTTTACAATGGTACAGTAGAGCCACCCTAGCCATAACGTAACTGAATCAAAATGGAATGCCAAAAAGAGATTCTGGGCAGCTATGGGGGAAGTAGACGGTGCATGTATTGTAGTAAGTAAGATTGTCTGTCCAGGAATATCCAAGCAGTGCATCAATGTAGGGCTGATCTGTACTGTACCGCACTAGCGAACAGACATGTGTCCATCACGGAATTAATACCCATCATATCTCGTCATTTTCCATCTCTCTCTTTATCTCACAACCTTTCTCCTCTCCCTCACTTAGTGCCGTCGACGCTGATGTCGCAGTCACAGCCAGCGTCGGTGCTGTTGTGAACGTGCGTGGAGCAACCAAGTCCATATCAGCGGCCGACACCTTTCCATCAACATCATCGGAGATTACCATCCGTGAGGCGTGAGAAACCCAAGGCGCCCGCAAGCCATAAATCAAGAGGGCTCGTTCGGTCTGGTCCCGTCCCGTCGGTGAATCAGCACCCAGCAGATAAGGAGCTGGGAGCGACGCCATCGCCGGGCAGTAGTTGGCAGTGTCGCCGCCGAGCGATATGTTGGCCACGCCGAGCGGCGGCGCAGCGCCCGCTAATGTTCCCGCAACCGCAACCGCACCCGCTCCAGTACCCGTATCGGTGCCAGCATCCGTATCTACCGTATCTGTGCCCCCAGCATCTGGCGCATCCCTGGCCAGTCCGGAGAAGCCCCTG